AAGATGAAAAATGTACCAGAAGAATACAAAGCCGAAATTTTGATAAATCTTTTAGGTGAAAATGCAACAAACGCTTTGATTTATTTTAGTGAAGATGTCAAAAATTATGAAGCAGTTAAGAATAAAATCTTAAAAGAATATCAGCCAACTGCTCAAGCATGTTTGGATATGTTTCGAAAGGCTAAACGTCAGTCAGGGGAAACACATGCACAATTTGCAGCCCGGTTAATGACACAGTGGAAATACTATTGCACCTTAAGGAATGCGAATGATTTAAACACAGTCCATGAATTAATTGTAGCCGATAAATTAATGCAAACTCTTGATCACGAGACAGCCATGCATATAAATGTAAAACAAGGTGATACTTGGTTAAAACCTGCGAAAATCAGAAAGGAATGTGACACGTTCTTCGCTTGTAAAAGAAAATCTTTAAATAATATCGGTAGCTGTTCTCAGAAAACACCGAATATTGAAACCAAAAGTACCCGCTTCTATGCGAAAACTGGATGGTTTGCCCAAAATTACTAAATTTAAAAAGGATTGTTATATTTGTGGATCTTTCCAACATATAGCTAAAGACTGTCAGAAGAAATTTAAATGCGAAAATCAGAATAAAACTATTTCCGAAAGTAATAAATCACAGAAAAGTGATGCGGTTGTGGCCCAGATTAATACAGAATACCTCGAGAAGAAACAAGTCGAAATTCAGCCTTTGCAATATGTGAAAATATTACTTGAAAATAAAGAAATTGATGCTATTATTGATTCAGGTACACAAATTTTGGTATTAAACAGTAATATTGTGTCGCCAACCGATCAAGATAATGGAAAAATTAAGTTAATATCTGCATTCGGCAAAGAAATAGAAGCGAAATTAATAAAATTATTTATGTCACTTGAAGATGAGGATTCTGATTTATTAAGTTACCCGGTAGACATTTTGGCGGCGGTAACAGATCGCTTGAACGTAGATTGTTTATTACCCATACAAACCTTTGAACTCTTGCGCGAAGGATGCGGTTTGAAGGGGGAAATAAATTTAATGGGGAAATGAATTTGGAAAGCGAAACGAATAAATGTTTAGACTACGTGGAGTCAAATACGGCTGAAATAAATATTCCTCAGCCATATGAAGAAACTAAAATAGAAAATAGGGATAATTCATATGTCAACACTCATTCAGTAATGACTCCAATACAGATATTAGAAAATAATCAAAGTAATGATGTACTGAAATTTCGAGAGGAGCAGATGTCTTGCCCGACTTTAGAAGAAGTCAGAATTAATTTAAAACACGGGAAAGGAAATTTTATGGAACTTGATAATATAATTTTTCATAAGGATAAAGTAATGGAAGATTCAGTTCAGCAGTTAGTTCTTCCAAAGAATCGAAGAAAAGATGTTTTAAAATTAGCACATGAATCTGTTTTCGGGGCTCACATGGGAGTAAAGAAAACAAAAGAGAGAATCAGATATGAATTCTACTAGCCCAATATGACTAATGATATTACTGAATATTGCCTATCTTGCGAACCATGTCAGTTAAGAAGTACCGAAAAAATAACTGATAGAATTCCTATTACCTCAGTTCCAAGACCTTATTTACCATTCAAAGTTGTTAATATCGATATTATAGGTCCTATAGGACCTCCTTCTGCTAGAAAACATAATTGTGTTTTATGTTTAATGGATCAACATTCCCGTTGGCCAGAAGCCATTCCATTACATTCTTTAACGGCAAAAGCTACTTGTGATGCTCAGTTGGAAATATTTGCAAGAACTGGTATTCCGAAAATTATAGCAAGTGATCAAGGAACTAACTTTATTTCTCAACTGACACAAGAATTTATGAAGCGTCTTGGATGTCATCCTAGATTTTCAGTTCTAGGATATCCAGCCAGTAATGGACTTGTCGAGAGGTACAACCGAGTTTTGAATAAAGCTCTACATCACATCATCCGTATGGATCCATCTAATTGGGATAAGTATCTACCATATTTGCTCTTTGCTTATCGCGAGGTTCCCAATTATACTACAGGGGTTTCTCCGTTCAAATTAATGTATGGTCGAGAGATACGTGGTCCACTGAGTGTCCTGAAATCTAGTTGGAATGGTGACATACCGATACCCTTAAATATGAAGCAATCAGTTGTTGATTATTTACAAGAAAGGAAAATTAACTTAGAACGAGCAGCTAATCAAGCATCCTTGATAGCATCTGAGAAACAAGCAGCTTATTCGAATTACTTTAATCATCAAGCTATACCTAAAGAATTTAAAGTAGGAGACAAAGTTTATTTGCTTATTCCTGATTCATCCAATAAACTTTATGCAAGATGGACTGGTCCGGGGGAGATTATAAAGTACTGTCCACCTCATTCATATAAAGTCAAACTCTCAGATGGGAAAGTAAGACATGTTCACGTGAATAAAATCAGAAAGTATATAGCTAGAGTAAATGCTGTGGGAGTTATTTTCGAAAACAAAGAAGAATTTGGAGAGATTCATCCAACCCGCAAGCTTCTTCTCAAGATATGGAAGTTGTTCTCCAAAAATTGCAACTTGAACACTTAACGGGTGATCAACAGCAGCAAATTCAACAACTCATAAGAAAGCACGAATCGTTATTTACAGGTAAAGTGAAAATTGCAAAGGTGGGTTTTCACAAAATAAAATTAAAACCCAACGAAGAAATGAAAAAGCCACATATCTACAGGATTCCGGAAACTTTAAAATCCAAAGTTAATGAACAAATTAAAGAGCTGTTAGAACTTGATTTAATAGAAGAAAGCAGTGCAGAAATTGCATATCCTATAATTTGTGTGAACAAGAAAAACGGGGGAATTCGATTGTGTGTTGATTATCGTGCATTGAATTCTGGAACAATTACTGATGATTTTCCTATGCAAAATGCTTCGAACTTACACATTCAATAGGAAAAGCTAATATAATATCAACACTGGAATTACTACAAGGTTATTGGGCTATTTCTATGGATCCTGAAAGTCGAGATTACACGTCGTTTAAAACCCATCGACAACAGTATAGATTTAAGGTTATGAGTTTTGGTCTGAAAAACGCTGCAGCAACCTTTCAAAGGGAAATCAATAAAGCACTCCATGAATACAAAGACTTTGCCAGAGCATATATTGATGACATTGCAATATTTTCAAAGGACTGGAAATCTCATATGATTCATTTGGATATGATACTCACTAAGTTGGAAGAGCTTCACTTTACAGTCAATATCAGCAAATGTGATTCCAAACCGCAAATCAAATATTTGGGTCATGTAATCGGATCTGGAAAACATCAAGCCGATCCTGAGAAGATAGAAGCAATTTCCAGATTATCAAAACCGAAGACCAAGAAGCAACTCAGAAGTTTATTAGGCCTATGCAACTATTATAGAGACCGTATTCCAAAATATTCTGAATTAGTATATCCACTTACTGAACTTACAAAGAAGAAGATACCTGAGGAAATACCTTTGGAAAGAAGAGCACAACATTGCTTTCGAGAAACTCAAGAATGCTCTGATTAAAGCTCCATCGTTATATACATCAGTTTTTGAGCAACCATTCATTATACATTGTGATGCCTCACAAATAGGAGTTGCAGCATCTTTGCCACTAAATTTCAATGAACGCAATTATCCCATAGCCTATGCAAGTCAGAAGTTAACTCGAGCTCAGCAATAGTGGTCTACTATTAAAAGAGAAGCATATGCTATTGTGTGGAGTTTGAAAAAATTTGAAACCTGGATTTTTGGATCCAAAGTTTAACTTTACACTGACCATAATCCTTCACTTTACCTGACAAAATGTGCACCGCAATCATCTAGATTACAACGTTGGGCTTTTGCTTTGCAAAAATACGAAATAGACATGGAACATCTACCAGGAGTCAAAATGGGTAATGCAGATGCTTTATCCAGACTGATAGGAGGATGAATATCCTTTTTATTTATTTCTTTTTATGGACCAAAAATATTTATAGACAATTCATAAAGACTTTAATTTTGGTCTTTAGATTAATTATTTTCTTTGGTCTTTAGATTAATTATTTTCTTTAAAACTTATTGCAAGATATATCTATATTAGGAGTTACTGAAATTAGTTACAGCAATTAGATGATTTAAGTGTAGCATTCTTAACCATTTAGAAGTTTTTCTCTAAAATGTATACTTCTGAGAGTTAACTCTTTTGTTATGCAAATGTTGTAATATTTTATATTTTCTTTTAGTTGATTAGTAGTTAAAATGTTGAATTGTGAGCACCAGGCTTTGTTATGAGAATGTGTTTGGACATCCTGCCCAACCACAATCTTAGGGGTAAGGTGTAGTGCCTGGCCCTCCGAAACTGTAACCCTGAAAATAGGTAGCGCCCTCTAGGCAGAAAAACGGTAAGTTGGAGACTGGCTTTCGGTGGGAGAGGCCGAATGCTCAGTATGGTAATTTTATAAATTTAACAATCCTATTACCTTATATATTTCTATTTGTACAAAGTGTATATAGTTTACGTTGACGGTGTGAATAAATTAAAAGATAAATCTCAGTCTATTAATTACGGCACCGGACACGGCTGGATCTTACAGCAGGATTATTTCTGAAAAAGTAAGAGACTTGTGAGCATACTGGTATACAGAACTTAATCCATGCATTTAAAATCTTAAGCCTGTTTGAAATGAAAGAAATACAGAAGTATTGAAACCATGACTTAAAATGATAGCAATATTTATTTAAAATTTTTTTAACATTTTGCATAAATTGGTTCATATAATTCAAAAAGTGCACAATGCTTGCAATTTCATAATTAGCAACCCAAACAATAAAATATATGCACCACATATGATCAAAACAATCAATTAAGACCACCCACTTGATTGATAAACCACAAGACAAGTGGGTGGAAGCATAAAAATAATATACAGTTGGATGAATACATCATGCAAATATTTATGTGCAAAAAAGACCATAGATTTAACCATCAACATACCTGATGTACTAGGAGATGCACTTCCACTATAAGCTGGAAATGTTGGTCGTGTCTGAGTAGTTACTAATGGTTTGAAATCTGTTCCCACAGGTACATGAGATGTTGTTGATGATGATGAAGTCTAAAATTAAGCAGATTACACATAATAATTAAAAGGATAACTGAGAGCCTTATATAGTTACATAACTCAAGAATACACAAAATTAAAGCACTAATACTCTACAGAATGTAAATAGAAAATAATAAATATATTAAAAAAATTTGGTACTTTTCAATTATCCACATCCTGATTTTCAACATTCAACAGAATAGCCATGTTTGGCATATTATCAGATATGTATGTGATAACAATTAAGGCACGCATGCGTATACCACACCCCTGCATTTATGTACTGATTAGTGACCCCTTCCCCAAATGCATTTTTTTAAAATACACTTACTGTAAAAATGTAATTACTGACCCTAAAACTTTTACTTTTTCTCATAAAATTCCTTGTTTCTTAGAAAATGCTTCCTTTTATTTTTGATGAAGAAAACAGTATCTATGAACTGAAAACATAACGAATGTAATTTTTCATTAATTCGTGAAGTCAGCCATGAAATATAAACAGGTGTGGATAATCAGAAAATATCAAAAATTCTTTAATTATTTCTATCTTAATACTTATTTCTAATAATTATACGCTGTGACTAAAAAACATATTAAGTTAATACTGTTGCATTCTTGTGGGTTCGTGGATATGGCGTGATTAATGACAATATTTGATGAAGAATAAAACACAATTTATTACCCAGTATTAATCAGGACAGCTCCAAAAACACATTTACAGTTGTTGAAAAATTATGACAAGCATGCTGAAACAATCAGCAACATAGCCTTCAGGCTATAATGGTGAAGATAGCTTCACAGCAAAGCACTAGAATACAGCTCCTGATTTGGTTCGGTCGTTCTTGGAACTCGATGTACTTTCAAGACTCTCCACACTACAACTCGTGATACACTCTACACTCTGTGTATAGACAGGGTTTGTATAGCTTTTGGCCTGCCTTCGAGAACATTCTGAGCCAAACCAGCAAGAATTTGCTCTACAATGTTCTCCATCCGTCTATGGCATATCACCAATTTTGTCGCCAAATGGGTAATTTCATACCAAATCTAGCAACCCTAAACCAGTTTGCGGGGGAAACTATCTTACTGCGGCTGAACATTTCCTAACAATACAATTAAAAAAACAAACTAGGTTTTTGAAAAATAGTAAAATGTTATCATATTGAATGATTCAATCGAAACTATTTTTAACAATAAAAAAATATTTTTTTGCAAGATTTTCTTAAAACCTGAAATTTAAAATCTTACTCAATGCAACAGATATACAACATTAAATGGCCTAAGCATGGACAAGAATGAACAGATTACTTCCCTCCCCTTCCCCCAAAACTGCATGCACATCATTATCCTCAACATATAAACTTTAGATTTTTCTCCCTTCTTTCAGCTTTTTTTTTTTTATTATGTAAAATATAGACATAACTGTTAAATATTAATGCAGAAATAGCAGTTTCTGCTGATTACAAACAGATGACAAAAATAAACAACAGAAGTTAACACATAAAGAAATCAAGTACAAAGCTTACTTCTGTACAATTTGCTTTGGCTTTGATCTTAAACATCAAAGCATTTGCTAATATGAATACTGTTATTTTAATAAAGACAGCTGCTTTTAACTTATTGTGCAGGTATTCTTTTGAATGTATTCCCTCTGTGCTGGGTTAATAAATATCAGGAGTACATTTTTATAATATATAAAAGGCATCTTGTTGACATTTTTCAGGAAAGTGATTCATTGTTCTACATGTTCAGAAAAAAATATTATCAGTTAACAGGTTAAATACACTGCTTTTTTTAACTTTAAATCTCTGGCTTCTTTTATCAAGCCTAAAAAGGTCCCATAATCAGAAATGACCTTTGTGGATGAGAAAGTTAAGATCATTTCAAACTAACTTGAAATAAGGAGAAACCTGTGATTTTTAATATATACAAAATTTACATATTTAGATGTTATATAAAAATGGGAAAATGAAGCTTTCTCTTCAACCATCTCAGCTTTAAACTAACATGACTATTTCATAAGTGGCTTCTCTACAATATCCATTTCAAATACATCACTTTCCCCAGGGGAAGGAAAACCCAGCAAAATAATATAGCTGCCAAACTTGAAATATGAAAAACGAGAGTTTATGGAGGTTCTCATGCTGCTACATAATTTAAAAAGAAAACTCTAAATTTATTTTATAAAACATGATTACGGTTATTGAACAATTTATAGTACTGTTCTGATGTAAAATATGTAAGTATTGAATTAGACAGTCTGAATTTTATGCCCTTTGGCTAATTTTATTTTGTTATTTTCTTATACTTTATACTGAGAAAATTTGGACTAGGCAAGAAAAGCTTTAAATTATAAAAGCACTTTTAAAACCAATTAAAAATAAAATTAATATATATAACTACTGCATGGATAAACTTACCCATTTATGCTAGTGGCATTATGCCTAACATTAACCCACAACTTATTCATGTAAAACAAAGTTAAATATGAATACTGACAGATTAAACGAAGGTTGATAAAAAGTTCTAAGTACAGCAGATTAAAACAATTTAGATCAAATAAAATTTAATATGAAAAATTATGTTTAATTTGCAGAATTTCATAGAAAATTCTGTAAATGTCTATAGTAAATTACAATAACTCCGATCAAATAAAACGTAACAACAAAAGTTATGCTAACATAATTTTTTTTTTTAAATTACAAGGGGCTGGGGGATGAAATTGCACAGTTAAAGTCTCATTAATTGAAAATAAATTTCATTTATTACTGAGAAATATTTTCCTTGATAAAAGCTAAAATAAAGACTGGGTAGTTTTCAGCTATATAACACGGATTTTGAACCCTAAGTTGTTATTTCTATGGTTTATTTCACCCCCACCAAAGAAGGCTGCTTATATATGCAAGGATCTAAAATATATTAACTCTTTCACTTTAAATTCATGAAATCAGATATTACAATTCTTAACATTCAATGTCTTATTCTTAATATAACTACAAACTAATTCTTAATATACTCATATTAAATGTCTTTAAAGTGCTTTTGCAAATACCTGAGCAACAGCAGCTGGAAATAGAGGTTTAGGTGGTGCATGCACTGTACTTGCAAGTGTAGATGGTGGAATCATTGGACCACGGGGCATACCTCCTACCATAGGCAAAGTACCACTGAAAATTAAATCAAAATACTTAAAATAACATAACTGAGTAAAAATTATACTAAGAGTAGAAATACTTAAAAACACGTAAAATTTGATAATAATCGCTTTCTATAATTTTAGTACGAGTGAAAAAAAAAAAAAAAAAGATGTTCATTTGCAGAGAGGCAGAACAATGCCAAGTGAAGCCAGGAGAGCTTTTATTTAATCTATTGGCAGATTGGTGAAAAGACAAACTGAAGTTTATGATTTAAGTTCTTGTAATTCCTCTGAGAAGTTAATACTTTCACCATATGCAAAATCTTTTAAATGCTTTAAAAAACGTGATGTTACAGAATAATGCATATGGTGCAAAATATTAACAAATTTCAAAATTTTCTTATGGATTCACATTAATGTAGTGTTACATCCTGTTTTAAGAATATGAACTTTATTTGGGCTCAGCATTTTTTCATAATATAATATGGAGAGTACAGATTCTTAATTTCCTTCAGGCACTAAAATAAAATACCTCCATACTGAATAAAAATAATTTTTTAGCATAAATTTGTATGATCCATAATTTGACTCTTCTCTTTTTGCTTGGCATGCATCTCAAAGGAAACATTTCTGATTTTAAACCTACTGAATAATTTATTTCTCTGACTTCAACCAGGTACATCATTATTTATTATTATTTGCTTTCATCACCCCTTAGCTATCAACACACAACAGCTTGAGAAATGACTCAGCGATGTCCAAACAATTTTTTTAAATTTAATTATTAAATACCAAACAGTAGGGTAATCTTTTATGTTGACTTTATTACCTGGTGAAGATTACAAATGTAGCTAACTGTGCTGTGTGTTATCAGGAGAAACTTACCCAAAATGTCTTTCCATATGCAAAAAACAGAATTTGTAAATGATACTCAAAGGTGAAAAGATTATATTTAGTATTGTTTGAACTGATTTTGTTATTCAGATAAGCCCTGAAATGGCACCAGAGCTGATGCAGGGGAATTTAGGAACAGCAAATTACAAATTTTTTTAATTTTGAGAAGCACCGAGCAACAAAACTCACAGATGGCAAAGTTTTTAGAATTTATGACCTGCAGAGACTGCATCAGACCACAAAGTGTCTAGCTGGGACTCTGGATAAACCTTAAGTAGGAATTTATGTGAGTAGCAGGAGTGCGACAACTCAACACAACTAATGGTATTGGAGTGAGACGAATGATGGACGATGTAAGCAAAAGAGAACAGTCATGTTTTAGACTAAGATGTATTAATAGATGACGGAGCTGTTAACTTCTCAATCATAACTCATTTTCCATTTGTAAATACTCATCACTGTATCTCCATTTAATAACTTAACAAATACTTAGTCACCTAAATGTGTGTTGTCAGCGTAGAAATCCTCTAGATGTTGAGTTTACATGGGCTCTTCGACCGATTCTTCTTCAGTAAAGGTAAGCTTTCTTTAAGAATCAAATAAAGAATCTTTTGAATTCAATTTTAATGCAGTAAAATTAAAGAATCTTTGAATTCAATTTTGATGAACTGAAATTATATTTTTACCATTAGAACGTACTGTGTTAAAACCAGAACTTTTGTTTTCGAAATTGAAACTCAATTTTCATTTTATTGTATTAACTTGTTTCTCAATTTTGTTCTATGAAATCGTTAAGCTGTGACAATGTCAACTCTAAATGATATACCACATATAGCTAAATCTTTAAAATCAGCTTCCACGAAAGCAATTAAGCTCCTACATAAATTTGTGTTTGGTCAAGAAGGCACCGAGCAAACTGCAAATGACTTTATGAATTCACAAGACTAGCTAGCTCTTTTCCCACTGCCGAAGTTAAGTAATGTTAAGTTAAATATTTTCACTCTGGCAGATCTAATTCCGATTCTTAATGTTCTGAATTTATAATGCGCCATTTCCACTGATGAATGTTATACTACAATTGTGAATGCTTTAACTAATTTCGATTTGTTATTAGAAACTACTATTTTCGATTCTGACAGTGAATTAGAAAACCCAGAACAAAAATTAATTGGCGGAAAATGAACAACTTCCCTTTTCACAGAAGACTCTTGATGATGAAGCACCAGATACTAGAACTCTCTATTTGGAAATTTTGCCTACTGATATCACTACTGATATCACTCTTGATGATGAAGCACCAGATACTAGAACTCTCTATTTGGAAATTTTGCCTACTGATATCACTACAGAAGAAATCAAAGCTTTCTCTTCTGATATTTCAGATACTGCTATGCCGAAAAAAGATGCAAAGACCAGGAAGAAAAGAGATATAAACCAAGGAAAATATTTCTCTCTGACATTCCAGCTGATACCACAATTTCTCAGATTGCCGAACATCTCAGATAACTCTGAATTTATCCCCTGTACATCCAAATGCTACCATAAGTTACATGCAGGAAAAAGATGCAGTTGAAGCTTTTGTGGCAACAAAGAATGCTGAAATACTTGGAAGAAAAATTACTGTTTCATATTGTTTAGCTACTTCATGTCCAAAGAAATGCAAGAAAAGAGACTGGATGTATAAATGAAGAAAATTTAAACGGACTTCAAAGACATTGTAATTGCTGATGCAGCAAGATGATGAAAAGGCTGCATTATGCATTGAAGCTCAACCGAACATCCTCTGTTTAGAGCAATCAAATATACCACAGTTTAAGAAATATCGCAAACCTGCCTGCAAATATAAACTTGGGAGACCAAATGCCAATCCGACTTGGACTGCAATATCGACCTGAATTTGGAACTAGAATCAAACTCCGTCTCTGATTTTTTGGACTCTACAAAGTCACAGCTGTTAAGCCAAATGACCGTTATGAGGTAGAGAAAGTTGGAATACATGAAGGTCCTAACAAAACTTCTAGAGCTGCTGATCTGATGAAACTATGGGCTTTTTAAGGATGAACTCTTAATTCAGAATTGGTATACCATACAATCGGACATTCTATTTAGTATTTACTACCTTTCATGCCTTTTCCTGTTAATTTTTTTTAATTAGTTGAAAAGCTTTTTTTTCTCCCTACATAGAATTTTTATATATACAGGATTTATTAAGATGTTCAATTATTTTTCTTTTTTTGCCTTGCCAAGATATCCCAGATATGCTCCTAAAGACGCTTGAGCAATTAAGACGATTTGGAGAAATAACATTTCTTTTCCCCTCAAGATGATGCATTGACACTCCAAGAAAATGATGTTTCTTTTTTTTTAAATCCTCAGAACATTCCAAGATGATACATCCAAAAGAACATTTTTTTCTTTTTTTAATTACTCTTTTCAGATTTTGCTGTAACTCCATCATCGCCAGGAGGCTCTGTCGTGTCAGGATACCTGAGTGTGAGTAGCAGGAGTGTGACAACTCAACACAACTAACGGTATCGGAGTGAGACGAATGATGGATGATGTAAGCAAAAGAGAACAGTCATGTTTTCGACTAAGACGTATTAACAGATGACGAAGCTGTTAACTTCTCAATTACAATTCTTTTTCCATTTGTAAATACTCATCACTGTATCTCCATCAATAAATACCTAGTCACATAAATGTGTGTCGTCAGCGTAGAAATCCCCTAGACGCCGAGTTTACATTTATTTATTAAATGCTCAGAGAAGCTTTAAGCATGCACAGACAACAGGCGTGAGTATAATAAATGACTAAATACATGCTTAACTTCATTATTGTATGACAGAAGCAAAACAAAATTTAATGGAACATCCCTTTAATAACCAACAGTACATAACGTATGCTCATTAAGCTTTATGATTATAGCTGCAAATTTCAAGGTTTTCAGTTGTCACAAACGCAAAATTTTTCAATTAATGGAAATTCTGAAGAAATGTGGAGAAGAGATAAATGATAACAGAAGTTTTCAATTGTGATGACAAAGGTTGATTTGATTTAGTTGATTGATGATTCCAATCAACTAAAGGAAAATCCAGACAACATCATAACTAACTGTGAAGAAAGTGACAGAGGAGTTCTTAAGCATGAAAAAACTTCGACTGACAATTAAATGGGAATTCTTGACACGGAAATTACAAGACTTGACCAGTAGAACTTTATAAGCAGATAAGAATATACACCATATACAGAATTAAAGAGAAAGTATTAGCACACACACACAACACACAAAAAAAAAAAAAAAAAAAAAAAAAAAAAAAAAAAAAAAAAAAAAATGAAGCAACGTAAACAACTTACATTGAAAGAAGCAAAAAAATAAATAATGATTTTTTTCTTTGGTAAATTTCGATTCCCTTACACTCATAAATCACTATTTCATATCTTTAATTTTATAATTTCTACCTGTCACCTTACTGGATTTAAACTGATGATATAATGTTTGGAAAAATCCAAAATAGCTGAAGTCCCAATGAGTCTGAATCTCAGAATTTGTACTGCATTTCTGAGTAATTTCTTTCTATTCAAAAGAATTTCTTTTGCAGCTATTTTAATTCTACGCTGACGACACATACAGAGATGAAAATAACAGTTTGTCTTATCGTTCCCCGAGCAACTATTAAAGAACACAAAAATAAAAATCAACTCGACAAATCCTGAGTAAAACTGTTTTACAGATTAAATGTTTCAACTCCAAAAGCATGCATATTAGTGTCATTAGCACCAAGAAAGGCTAGGACATGGACAGAATATAATTAAAAAAAAAAAAAAAAATCAAAACTTACCCAGGACCCATGAAGCCTGGTCCCATGCCTGAAAAATAAAGCAATAATTATTAACAACACAACAAAGATGCTTAAAAATTATTTGAACAGAATTTACTAGAAAATTTGTAAATAGTTAAATATTCATTTTCAATTTATACATGCAGTCTGTCTGGAAAATTTGTAGACTGATGATGGTATATACAGAGTCTAAAATTAAATGATCAGCCTAATTTAAGTGGAATAAAGTGTGATTGATGGCATAAAAGCATTCAGCTGCACTTGTTAATAAAATATTGCTCAATTGTTGTACTGCATGCAGCATGATTGAAGATAAACTCCTAAAATGATTATTGAAGAGTTTAAATTAGGATAAATGACTGTTCACAATTTTTATCAGAAATGGGAACTGAGAAAACTATGTGCAAAAATTACTGGTCAAACCATGGTTCGCTTTAATAGACAATTAATGGATGAATTGGGGTGGAGGGTGGGAAATCTAAAATTACAATTAAGAGATAATTTTTTTTGTAAACATTTATGGAACTGCACCTTAAATCTTTCCAGAAGGATAACTATAACTTACTATATGAATACCTTAAGAGCCTACGAGATCACGTACAGTGTATGCTATTATAAGTGATGGAAGGAAGACCTTTTATATCATGATAATGTATCATAATATGCAGCAGTAGTTGTTCCTTAATTCTTAGTTTACAATTCAATCTATGCAGTCAAATATTCTTTCCATTCCTATCAGACTTTTCGTTAAAAAAAAAAAAAAAAAAAAAAAAAAAAAAAAAATTGCTGACGCAGCATTTGGAAGATTTAGTAATAACTGAAATTATGAAGCATTTGATGAAATATTAGAAATTATATCTCCAGCAGTAGTAGAAACTACACTGACAAGAGTGCATTAACAGTGGAGGGGATTGCTTCAAAGTATTATACACTTTGTCTACAAATTTTTTACACAGACTATATATATGTATGTATCATTTTTTAAAAGAAAACTGTAAATATTTTAATAATAAAAATAATTTTTAATATAAATTTGTATAAATATGCATACTAAAAGGCAGAGAAAAAAAATGTCCAGCAATTAATTAGACAAAAAACTTACAATAACTGGTCTTACACCACAGAAGGATTCACTCATTAAGAAATTTTTTGAAACACTTAATATCATGATCTAATAAAACGAAAGAAATTAGTATCAAATCAAAACTAATTTTTTAAATAAGAGGAGAATAAAAAACAGAATATGAAGTCACAAATACATAAAACTAGTAAAAATACTGTTGAAAAAATCAAGCAGTCTTATAATGCATTAAAAAAAATTGGATATCCATGTAAAGTCAATCACGAATTTTTCAAAAAAGTTAAACAAGGATAAAACAGCAAGTGGAATGTTTTCCCTTAATTACTAAAAAAGGGATCAACTGGCAGACAGCTGGAAATCATTTATCCAAAGATTATCTGTCTTAGAGGGATGTTTTCTGGGAAAAATTAAAACTGGCTCGCAATCATGACACACATGGGGAAAATTACCAAATGCAATCAGTAACAGCTGAGACTGATTTATAAATTTTCAGTAGATTTGTTCACTTGGCTATTAAGCAAGAGGCAATGTTGACATGATAATGCAAGAAAAGATATCTTCTGTAAAGATACTGAGCAGAAATGCTCCAGTCAATGGAAATTGTTTAAAAAAATATTAATAGATAACAGCAATTAAACAATCATTAATATGCATCTCTAAATATATTACACTTATTACCTTCAGAGCAAAACTACATAAAAACAGAGGGGACTATTTAAACAATCATTAATATGCATCTCTAAATATATTACACTTATTACCTTCAGAGCAAAACTACATAAAAACAGAGGGGACTATTTAAATCAATAACTCTAGAACATTTTATTGATAAATTTTGCTGTTAAAAACCTTGCCTATCTTGTTTCATTTATTCATTCTTTCACAATAAAAGCAAGGTATAAAAGGTACATATCAGAATGGAGAGTAATTTGTACCTCTACCTTGCAGACATATACACTTATAAAAATTAAAAACTTCTAAAAAACATATCATGAGAAGAGATTATCAGCATGTGATCCTCAAGAGAAAAATAAAACATTTGAATAAAGTTTTATTCTGAAGTAATGGAAATAGTGGTAAACAATCAAATGTAATAATAAATTTTTAAGCCAACAATTCAGCACAAAGATGTAAATGGCAAGCAAGAAAATTAATCCATCTAATTTCTTAGGCTAGCTTAGGCCTGAGAACAGATGATGAATTGCATCAAGTGGATATTTTCCAACTAGAACATTTTAACGTGAGACAAAAACCTTAAAAGTCAGTGAAAGCTGTTAGTTGTAAATAAAACTATATTCAGATAATGAAAATAAAATTTACCAAACTTCATGATTTGCTTGCATAAAAAGAGGAAACAAAAATTATTTTCATCCCAACCTCTCTGCAGGAGTGGGGTTTAGATTATTGCAAAGTATGTAAAGGCTATCAGAATAAGGGAAAGCATGCTTCTAGAGAAGACTTCCTAAAGAAACTGGCTCATATTCACATTAAATATGGGAAACAACTACAAAAACGTCCAAGCAGCCAGCCCATTTACCAGGATTTTAAACCAGGATGAACTACACTGAGAAGACAGGAGACATCACAACAAAATTTATTTAGTAGATAACATGTTGACCAAGTATCAAATGATTAAATTTATAGACTTCTGCGAAGTGCGGTTCCTTCCAGAATCAGTAGCCAGAGTAGCCGCCATTGTTGGAGATCCCCACTGCCACACGCCTCGGCATTGATTCAAATAGACTTTGGATGCGTTCTTGGGGTACAGCAGACCAAGCAGCTTCCACACGTTGCCAAAGTTGATCTGGTGAGGCAGCTTGGGACGTAATCTGGGTCAATCGTTCAGCAACCATGGATTACATGTTTTCTATCGGCGAAAGATCCGGAGAGCGAGCCGGCCAGAGAAGCAATTCAATCTGGCGATTGACGAAGAACCCTTCCACAATGCGTGCCACATGTGATCGCGCATTATCCTGTTGAAATATAGCTGTGGGCAAGCCCTGAAGGTAAGGAAGGACAACTGGCTCTAACACCTTGGAGATGTAGACACCTTGTAACTGGCTGTTTAAAGCACCGGCAATGTGTATTAGAGGAGTGCAAGAGTGATATCCAATACCGCCCCATACCATAATACCCTGTGCAGGACCAGTGTGGCGGTGCATAATGCAGCTGTTCAGCATCCTCTCTCCACGGTGTTCTCCAGGCTCGAATCTGACCATCGTGGTGTTGTAGACAGAAGCGTGACTCCTCAGTAAAGACAATTTCATTCCATTCTGCCGTTCACATCCTTCTTTCCAAGCACCATCGGCAGCAGAGACGTCTGTGGTTCTGCGTCAAGGGTAGACGAAGCAATGGACGTCTTGCAGACACACCACTCTGCTGTAAACGGCTTCGAATAGTACGCGCAGACACTGGATGATGCGTTACAGATTGAATGTACTGTGCTATGGTTTGTGATGTGACTGAGCGATCCGTCACTGCAATGCGCACAATGTTCCTTTGTCATCATGTGAAGTGGTGCACTGAGGTGGATGCGATCGAACACGTCGGTCCGTTGTACCCTCCTGCATCCAACGATCACATATCCGCATTACAGTTTGGTTTCGTCCAACATGACTACCGATTTCCCTGAAAGATAATACACACTCTCGGTAGGCCACTATCCTTCCTCTGTTGAACTTGAATACTTGATCAAATGATGATCGCTGTTTACTATGAGGCATAATTGATTGTTTTTTTGAAAAAAAAAAACCACAAGAAAAACACAATTGCCGAACTTGAAATCGTCGAAAACTCCAAGCCTTAAATAGCACTTTGAAGTGGCGCCACAGGCGCACGTGATGTGCGTCTGCGCTGAAATTCTAATCATTTACATATCTCACCTCTGCTAATGCATGTTGTAAATTTCATGTTATTTGCATGCTTCCTTCAGGGTGTTGCATTAACGGTGGCCAGCAGTGCAGTATATTCAGTGATTTTACTGCTCAGCTGTTAACGGACACAGTAAACACCGAAACATTATTTAAAAGTTTATCCCCTAATTTTTCTTTTTCTGAAACTATTAAATTTTAATAAAAAATGTAATACTGTTTCAAAAAGCTCCTCCACGAAATTTTAAGTACTTTCTAAGTTTAATGACCAGTTATATCAAAATAACAAATTTATGAAAATAGTTATTTCATAATTTTTATTAAAAATATTTTAAATTACCCAGTACAGTATACAGAAGTGTTATAAATTTCCATACATACACTGGTTTCCAAAAATTAAAGCGGAAAAGTACTGTGATAAAAAAAAAAAAAAAAAAAAAAAAAAAAAATTCTGAATGATCTATAAATTACTTTTTTTTAAAAACAAATTACATTGTTTAGAATGACAAAATTGTTTAAATAAGAAATTCTTTATTTACTCATTACAGATTAACCATCAATGCTCTTTAAGAATATTATATATATACATCCTTCGTGGTTAAAGGAAACAGCACTTATATACTTTTGGATCATTTGCCTAAAAAATTCAATACAATGTTGAATCAGATTTAGTTCTAAAGTTTGACTTGGTTGACCATACACATAATGATATCCATCCACTGTTTCAATGGCCAAACAATGAATGAGTAAACTTTTAATAAGAATGCTTCCGGCAATGCCTCTGCACAAAAGGTCAAGAAATCTTTTATATTTAAATCATGTTCAACCAAAAGTTGATTGAGACTGTGATAAATTTCTGCAATGGTTTATTAGCATAAATATATTTTTGCAAATTGAAAAGTGGAACATAGCAGATATTGCATCAGTATACACAAACAACCTTGTCGATTAAACAAACATACAAGAATACACAAAATGAATGTACGAGGGTTGGAACTTTAATAGCGGCAACACAGCTGAAAAAATGCTACGCAACAAAACCAAAGAATATCACGTATACCACACGTAAACCACATATCTACCTTACCTCTCAGCAAAAAGACTCGTCCTGCCTACGACATGCGCATGCGGAGTGACACGAAGAACAGATCCTTGTATTAGCTTGCGGTCTAAAGTAAGTGTTGTCAGGATGTTTTCAAAAAAAAAAAAAAAAAAAAAAAAAAAAAAAAGATGTTGGATAAAAATTGAATGTGCCAGAGGTCGTACAGCACGACAGTGTCATCAAGGGCTTCAAGAAGCTTGCGGGGAATCTGCATTGCCTTACAGAACCGTAGCAAGATGGGTGAAAGCATTCAATGAAGGACGCCAAAACGTGGCAAACATGCTGCAGCCAGGTCGTCCGAGTGTCAGCTATGCAGACGTGCAAGCTGTTGCCGCACTAATGGACAGTGATTGCCGCCAAACAATTCGTCAGCTGGCCGGACAAACAGGATTAGTGCATACGACTGTGCTGCACATTCTGAAGGAACGCCTGTCCATGAGAAAAATTGCTTCACGACGGGTTCCACATCAACTGACAGAAATGCAGAAATGGCTACGATACGTTGCTGCCCGAACCCACCTAGGAGCGCGAAGGAGATGCTTTTTTACGCCGTATCATTACGCTGGATGAGACTTGGGCCTGATCGTACCAGCCAGAACTGAAACGGCAATCAAACGAATGGCGTCATCACGGGTCACCACGATGTTCGAAATTTCGTCAGAACCCCAGCAATGTGAAAGTTATGGTGATTCTCGTGTACGACTGTGATGGTGTCATCCTAACGCATACCGCTCCCCTACAGCAGACCGTCACTGCGTAGTATTACTGCTCATTTTTGGAGCACAATCTCCAACCAGCTTTGAGAAAAAAACGGCGAAACTTTCTGCAGAACGCTCCTCTCATTTTGCATGACAATGCTCGGCCGCATGCAGCGCAAGCTGTGACTGATTTGTTCAAGCGATGGGGCTGGGAAGTGCTTTACCATCCACCATACTCCCCAGATCTAAGCCAGTTCACACTATCAACAAAACAGGCGCTGCTACAGGTATTTTGCGACTTCCACATCGTTGGAAACAGGTTGTACACAATGCTGGCAACTATACTGAAGGACTGTAAAACATGGTGACATGAATCACTTTTGTATTCCTTGTAAATAAATAGTTGCCACTATTAAAGTTCCAACTCATACTAGTAAAGATCATTCTGTCCTGGGTTGGGCAAAAAAATTACTAATTGTCAATACATAATCACCTTGTCAGTTAAACATATATTCCACTGATCCATCAGATAATAAATAACATTAGTAAAGTCTTTTGATCATATATGGAACTATTTTTAAGACCTTACTGTCATCTGTGAACCAGCAACTCTCCAATGTTTTTTTAAGTGGGCCAAATATTTGCAAATCAAAGGGATAGTTGGGGAACTCCACCAGAAAAGAAAGCTAAGCTTATTGAAGTTATTAACTTTTGAATGCTTCTATGAGTTATACACAGGATAGGGCCCAGCAGCCTGAAAAACATGACATTATCACCTGAACCCAATCTAAAAAAACTCTTACATGGAATAATGTCATTACAACTACAATTCCACATTTGGGTGTTGCTGAAATATTGAGGTTTTATTAAGCAAAATATTTCCTTAATCTAAGAAGAATGCCACTACAAATGCCTATGAAGTTTAACATCTCCATATCACACACTGTCTGGAATCATTTTGCTGGATAAAAGTATTAGCTACCTAACATAAAAGCCTTGGTAACATGAAAAAAGTGTACATGAAAAATTTTATGCATACAGGTGATAGCAAATAATTTTTTTGGTCATATGTTTTCAATGTTTGGAAGTAACTTAAACAACTCATTTGAAATTTATTGTTATATATAATCATTTTAACATAGCTTAGAGATACATGTTCATGTTGGCATTATTTTACTGCTCATATAAAATAGCTGGAGGAAGAGGAGAATAGATTTTTTTTTTTTTTTAAGATGAGCTATCACAATGTTTCTTTAATTCGTGGAATCCAGTGTAATTTTAAATTTCATAATTTAAGACACAGCAGATCAAAATTTATTAGAAGTTTAAATTACATATAAAACATATGAACAGCATGAAACTATATGAAAATTAAAATTCTTGAAAGAGTAGATAGAATAAGAACCAGAAAAACCATTAGATATTTAACAGTTAAAAGGTAAAGAATAGTCATGATGCCCACCTTTGCTCATGCTGGTAGTTGGCAAGTCTTAAAAAGAAAGAGAAAGTTTTTATTTTTGCACTAGGAAGATTTTTATGAAGTAATATTATAGAAAGACAAAAGATTAAAAAAAAAACACTAATGCATTTTACTTTAGAGAATAAAAAGCATATAAATACAAAAAATGAATATATGTAAAAAATAGAGTTCATATTAACAGAATTAAAAATTGATATTTTTGTTTATTTTAAAATGAAGATAACTGATTATTACTAGAAAAATTTATTTATATATAACAAAAGTACTATAACATAACAGTGGGTAACATAGCGGGTAATGTGTTCCCAAAATTTAATCTGAATAATAAAGAATATCATTAAAATAAAATACTCAAGTAATATACATATTTATGAATAAATTTAATTGATAAATAATGCAAGAAAGACACTGTAAAATTAAACAGAGAAACACAGTATTCTGCAGAGTATAATGTATTATATACAGCATCATGAAATGATATGTAAAATATAACATACACTGAAGTACATATTTTATATTTTCTCATATGAACAAAAGCATGGATTCCAATATGTTAAGCGAATTCTCAAAACATAAATGAGAAATAAAGACATGCAGTGTTTTAACTAAATAATGTAATAACTTTAAAGGATTGCAGAAATAATAATCAATTTTCCATTGACTACTATCACATTAGCAATTTTTAAGCATTGGTAATATCACTACTTACATTTCGGAGCCTTTATTATGGTAAATAAGAACTTCAAGAAAAGGAAAGTTGTCATAACATATCTAATAAGAATAGTATGAATGCTAGAAGCTAGAACAGAAGTGAATTTTTTGAAAGAAAAAGTATGATTATACAGTAATGATAAATCAAATACTCTACAACCATCAACAATCAACAGCTGAGTTTTTCCCCAACTTTCAAACTACGGTACGAGTTTAAAATATGAAAGTTGTTTTTTATAATTTGAGAATATGCATAAGATTCTGAAAGGATCCTTTCCTTTCATGCATTTAGTTACATCAGTACAAAATAAACATGAAGATGCACAGAAAGACAGTAATAGTTTATTTAAGGGCCTATGCGTCCGTTACATTAAGCCTATAGCCTTCACTTTCATTTCAAAATTAAAAAAAGTGTACAGTAATTTCCTTCCACCACAGGCGCTTCTAAATAAGAGGATCCACTTAAAAACATGGAAAAATTTACTTCATATATATTCCTTACCATCTTATTAATTTACCAGATTTAAACATACTCTCGAGAATAGAGCACAATTGTAACATTTTGTGCACTTAAATTACGACCCTTTAACAATTTTAAATTATTCATTTAAAATCAGAGTATTTCAAAGACATTTAAAATATATTGCATACATATGCAGAATGAAGTTCTATCAACCAAACACCTTGGAGACAAAATTTTGCGTGAAAATATTGAGCTTAAATACTTTTTCTTTTTTGTAAAACTGCAATTTCATTTATAAGATTTATAAATTTAGCCAAGAATTTTGTGTACATCTAGAGATTCAATAAATAAATTAAAAAAAAAAAGGGAGGGGAACTGAAAAGATCAGTTTCTCTTCAATGGGTAGCAACAAGAGAATTGCAAGCCTCAATATAATATGTAACAGTATAATTAAGATGATCCATGATGTTAGCCTCTAGAACAACAAGGATATCCACATTCTTTTCCACAACAATCTTCTAAACATAGGAGACTATCAGGAATGACTGGAATGAGTTCAGACACAGGCCATGTAGAGAGGCTGTGGCTAATTTCTACTGAGCACAGGACATGACTTGTCAAGCATCTCAGCAGAATAGGCACATTGAATAATAGCTAAAGCCTTGTTTTTAAAACAGACCTAGGAATAAACAGCACTTGCTCATCTGTCCAGACCTTAGTTACAACATAGTGGTGATGTTCTCCTGCTGTATTGGGTGGCCAGGAATTTTATGTTCTGAGTGCATGGTTGCTTCACCTCTAATCACACTTTTAAGATTTCCATTGTGAAATTTTTATGTCTCAATTTATTGGTATTGTAAAGTCTTGAATTTTAGTGTTGTAATGTTTAAAAGTTTTTATTATTGATTTTCGAATAAAGCCATAAGAAACAACAACAACAAGGGTCAGGAGGTTCAAGCAATTAACATCAACAAAATGTAAAGCTTATTTTCATTTTTCTTTTAAAAACATTTCATAAAATTTTAGGGCAATTAGCTTGAATGTAAAACTGGGAATGCTAACAAAATTTACTATGTTGACAGGTGACAGGTGACGGAGGACGGGGACGCCTGACGTATAACATAGGTAAACAGGCATATGTCCCACGTCCTCCACTATCTCGAAGAAGCAACTCGCTGGAGCCCCGTGAGGCTGCACCAGGAGTTTACATGGCCATACAGAGGCTAGATGTCGGGTAGTTTTTACATAGGACGTTGTTAATAACACAAAGTAACTTAAAAAGAATATAAAGGATAGCATTAAAACACTAATATAAGCTGAAACACATAGATATACAAAATTAAACGTAAAAGCATAAAAACACACTCGTAATTACGTAACATAAGACATAAAACACACACGAAAAACATAAGACATAAAAACACACAAGAATACATATCATGACACATAGAATACATATGGAAACACGTAGAGAGCACATAAATGCAAATATTACACTCAGAAGAAACATGAGACATAGTAAGGTGTGCGTAAAGCAGCAGTAGCGCTGTGCGGAAATATGCTCAGTTCCCATAATACATAATGTACATACTTTCATTAGGGGCTTCTGTTGCATGAATTACATATTTCGTTGCATACACTACATTCGTGCATTATACGGATATTATATATTTCGATAACACATCATTCCATTGGGTGCCCTGTGCTTTACACTGATAAACATGTCAGTAACATTATTTCTGCAAGTTGGTGGCTATTGAAAGCAGATGTTAACACGAGGCTCGAAATTGAATGTGGAATGTGTATTACAGAATGTGTACATACTGCGAATATCTAATAGTTGAGTACAATGTCTGCAGTACCATGCTACAGTGGCTCGCAAATGTCTTGCCCTAGGGCGTTGATTTGCTGTACAACTGCGCAGATACTCCTTATAGCTGGCGGGTGTTTGATTATGAAACGATAGTAAAGTGTTCTATCATTCATTGGATGTGGTAAGTGGTGGTTTGTTGTTAGACCGCAGTCAAATAGGTAGTGCTCGGGAGAACCTAGCATGCCACAGACACAATTGTCAGATGCTGAGATGCCATGACGCATAAAATAAGATGGAAATGGGCCATGACCCGTTATGTACTGTGTCAGTGGGGCTATTGTTATAAGACGTTCCGTGTCTACCTTTGGTAGGAAGTTATACGTCCTTCAATTATTATTCGTCCTTACTATGTTACTATTTACTATGTCATTATTCGTCCTTACTATGTAATTAGTTATTCGTCCTTACTATGTTGACATAACAACTTATAACAAATATTTCCAAGTTTTAGTTTACATGCACTAAAACAGATTTCAATTACATTTTCAGGTAGACTAAGATAAGCAGTTGAATTTTCATATATACATGTACACCTCTACAAATTAAGAGTTAGAAGAAACATCAATTTTATTTACATACGCTAATAAGAATTATCCGAAATTAATTTCTCTCTACATATCATAAACTGAAAATTATCTAACAAATTAAGAGAAAAATAAATTACCCATAGGCATTGGTCCTAAAGGACCAGGCATTGGAGGACCAAAACCCATACCCGGCATCCCTGGCATCATACCCGGCATAGGTGGCATTCCAGGCATCATCCCTGTCATAGAAGACATGCTTGGCATGTTAGGCATACCTTGATTGCTATTATCTGATTTGGTATCAAGATCTTCATCACTATCTGGAGCTAAAACAAAAGATTATTTAAGTATTAATTCTAAAACAGATCCATTTTGATTACTTAGATGTAAAACATGTTTCCCATATAGAGGGGCTTTCACAGTTTCCAACACCTTCAAATTCACCTACACAGCATCAGTTACCTTCTATATAATTCCTCTTCTTTCAAATTCCAAATTATGGCTTCCATATGCTCATATATGGTGGAAGAGTACATTATTTAAAATTCGATCACTCTAGATACTGTTGTTTTATCACAATGTGAGAAACATACACACATTTATGCATTTATACATATTTATTTACGTTCTTCACACTTAAACCATTAAATTCATTTCAACAGCAACATCACAAAATAATTTTAAAACAGCACGTCTTTAGAACTTTCAAAAAACAGTCTCATGTGATGGAGATAAAATTTTTTTTTTTTCCTCCACACAGTTTTGCCAAGGCTAACTTTGAAATAGCCGAGTTTGTTAATCAAAAACGCATAAATACTTTGCAAAATATGAAATAGATAATAAAACCAATTCCAAATTTGACCTTCCAGATTCCCATATTCAGATGGAGACGTACCTTATTTAAAATTTGAGTCTCTAGGAGTCGTTGTTTTATCACAATGCGAGAAACATACATTTATGCAGCTTCTTCATTATTTAATTTCTTTAAATATAATACAGGCCTCTAATATTTGGTAGCAACAATTCAAAGCTTCTTCATTATTTAATTTCTTTAAATATAATACAGGCCTCTAATATTTGGTAGCAACAATTCAAAAATGATTTGCCATTTACAGTGAATCAAGGAAAAATGCAAAAACGAAATTAATAGCCCTTCTGGTTCTGGGCTAAAAAAAAAAAAAAAAAAAAAAAAAAAAAAAGAGCAACACATATACAGTCAAAAGTCGTTAATCCGGACTCGTCGGGACTTCGGCGATTCTGGATTATCGATTTTTTCTGGATTATAGATCATCAGTTTAAATCTCGTAAGATGGCATGCAGAAATTCTAAAATTAAAAATATGAAACCGTAATTTATGAAATAAAGAACAATTATGATCTAAAGGGTATCAAAATTTGCAAAAAGAAAAAGCTTAATATTTATTTGTTTACTTTATTAAACATTTCTTTCAATGTAAGTTGTTTAAGTTGCTTCATTTTATGTGATAATACTTTCTCTTTAATTCTATAAACAGACATAATTTCTTGCTCAGTTACAAAGTCCCGCTGTTCAAGTCCCGTTAATTGCTGTGCCGAGAATACCGACTAACTTGTCAATCGAAATTTTTTCGTTTCCACTAACCTCTCTGTCACATTCTTCATGTCTTTATCCATTTTTTGCAGCAATTCCACTTTTTGTTTGTTGGACATCGAAACATACTTTCGTTTTGTAGATCATTTGGAAGTTCCAGCATCGGAAATTCTATTTGACATAATCGAAAGTTCAAGTTTACTTTTATAAAATTACTCTTACAGTCTGCAAAAAATAATAAGCGGGATCCAATTCGAAGATTAAGGAACAACGCAATCATTAACATTAACTGAAATAGATAATTAGATAATTTTATCTTACACCGTCCGTTATACATTAAGCGCGCAGGCGAAAACGTATTCTGCACTTGCGCACACGCATATGCGCAGTAGTCAAGGTCTTACGCTCACGCGTAAAACGCCTGTGCGCATGTGCCAACGCGGCGCATGCGCAGAAAGTTTTTAGCTTTGAGGTCCGGATTATAGATCATTCCGGATTATGGGTGTCCGAATTAACGACTTTTGACAGTATTTTTAAATAAACAATGCAAATTCGAAAACCTTATAAAAATTCAATAATGTACGAACATGTGGCAGCAGCGAAAATGCAACACAGTGCGACTATGTGGCGAGATATAAGAACATGCAGCAGGTGCTAATATGGCAAGGTATAAGAACAATCAAAGACTTAGGTGGCGAGATATCTTGATTGATTGATGATTCAATCTTGGAGGCCACTATAACAAGGACGTAATGTAAAATTTTGTAGGCTCAGTTTGTTCAATAAACAAAGATATACGAGAAAAATTACTTAAATATTAAATAAAAAAAGTAAATCAAATTTTGAAAAAATAGCTTCATCACGTTGCATTTATATCAATAAATGGTCACCATAAACTAAATAAAAGCTTATAAAAAAGGAATATTATAATAACCAGAACTTTATTGTGATGGAGATAGCATACATATTTTACACAAAAGAAATTTTCTTAACAAATCATCTGAATAAGCACTAATGGTAAAAGTATAGTTTAGGGTACTCCTTGGCGAAATTTGGTGGTACATGGATACTGATTTTGTGCAATTCTTCGACTCATTATTTTCGCTTGTGAAGCGGCGATTTTTGCAGCAAACATCACCGCTACACAAAGCCAAAATAACAAGACAAACAATTGCACAAACTCGGTACTCATGTATACATTGACTTATTTTCACTTAAAAAAAATTCCCAAATTGCACAAAAATGGGCATTGCACACTCCTTTGACTTTATCCATGTACATGCCGACCTAGTTTCACTTTAAAAAAAATCCCCGAATTGCACAAAAATGGCATTGCACCCTCTTTTAACTTTATCCATGTACACGTCGACCTATTTTCACTTAAAAAAAAATCCCAGAATTGCACAAACTTGCATTGCGCACTCACTTTACTTTGTCCATGTACACATCGATATATTTTCACTTAAAAAGTCAAAGGAGCACCAAATTCTAAAATATAGGCAAACAAAAAATACATAATCTCAATAAAACAAATTTTAAACCAAACAATAAAATAATATAAAAAAGGAAAAACATGTTATACATTTAAGCACTACCGAAAGCAAATATTCACTTACCATGATTTTCGAGTTCGCTTCGTACACCCAGAGCCACGTAAAAATCAAAATATCAATCATGCTCAAAGACTTTTTTTTCAAACCAGGTACTCTTTCTGATCGAACGCTTCACATAGTGACCATCTAAACCTTTCTTCCTATAAACCCATTCAAATCCATCTAAACGGTTTTTACGTTCAACTAGATGCATATCCTTCCTACATACAAGACACTTATAACGGCTACTAAGTAAACCTTCATTTACACACCAGTCAATTAAAGCTCTTTTCCCCTTTCGCTCCAAATCGTACAGAAAATTCAAATTAATCTTACTACATTCGGCCATTCTATGGTCTTAATCAAACCAACACACACCACAAAAACGCTTACAAAACATCCCATGATTCAAAATTTCCCAGAATCATGCACCCGATTCTGTCACAATAGGGTTTCCATAACATTCAACTACTCAGGCTACCATAAATGAAACAACAACTTGGCGATAAATCAAACAACAACTTCGCCATAATACAAGGGGTACCTTAAAGTCTACTCTACCCGAACTAATTTCTAAATTTAAGACTCATTATACATATTTTAAGAATTAGATCATTACATTACTTTCTTTGGTCTATAGTAGATGCCACTTAATGTTATTGCTTGGATATTGTTAATAGTTAATGTTACCATTGGGATATTGTTATCCAATTGCCAAACTGGAAATCAGCCATTATCCAATTTGCCCATTAGTATACACATTCGCATACATGTAAACACTTCACATATAGTGATCAAAAGTTTGGTAATCACGATCTAAATATTATAGAATAAACTTTTTAAATTGAAGTCCCCAAATATATTCAAAATAGTTTATAAAAATCAGCACATAAATGTTTCCAAGTAAAGATTATGTCACCAAACAGCTTGGTTTTTTTTTGCTGTGAATATCCATGCTAAAATAAGGTTACTTTTTTTGCCTAATTAAAAAAATTATACAGGCATGTTCTCTTCAAAAAAGGAAGGCACTGTCCACTCTGAGTTTTAAGATTAACCGTACAGAATCTGTCAAATAATTTCGAGAAACATGATGAACAGTTCATAAAAAAAACTTAAATTTTTCTAATTAAAAATGCTGTGAAAATATCTATTTATGTGTTTCTAGTTCTATTTATATTAGAGTTAAATTTGATTTTACATTTTTGATATACATTTTTTCTCCTCGTTTAATATTATCAAAATGGGCATAGACAAACATTATCCTTCTCGCTGCACAACTTTTTTATCACAATAGATTAAAAAATTGAGTATTATTTATTACATATTTCAGATTTAAACATACTTTAGAGTTAAAATGTGTAAAAAAAAAAAAAAAAAAAAAAAAAAAAAACTATGAAAGAGTTTTTATTCAATACAGAATTAGATCATAAAAAAAGTTCTTGGAAAATTGAAATTGAAGAATAATCATACAAAAGCTAAATTTCGACAATTATTCTTGGTTAAATTACGATTTATTTTATGAAATACAGAGGTAAAATGTATATACTAATGACAATATGCAAAATACTAACAAAACATTATTGTAAATGAAGTTTGGTATGATAAGCTTTGAAACAAGGCTCGATGCAAAGTCCTACTTTACAGCCTTTGCATCAAATTCACATTTCTTTGTAATTTTTTTTTGCCAGTGTCAGATTTTTTAGCAACAAACGGCACACTGTCTACGAGGCTCGTTCTTCATGGGATTGGGGATATATGGCTAGCAAAATGTCCGGCAATTCATCTCATAGAATTGAGAGTTAAACTACAGACATCTTTGAGCTTTAAAAAGAGCATACAAAATGGTACAGAACATGCTTCGAAATATGGACAACTAATGCCATCTGTTAACCCAGAGCTGAATAAACATTTAAACATCAGAGAAAAGCCGAAATGAAAACACGAATGGGAAAAGAGCGGGTTGCACAGTCAAACAGATGGAAAAAATGCATCCCCGTGGAAATTGCAGGTTGCACAAATTTTCCCACTTCTACGTTGTCTGTGGAAATCGTGGGATATGCAGCGAGACGGTTATGCAGCTGTGTATAAGATAATTACTGTATAAGCTAATTACTATTGCTGATCTGCACAATATCTCAAAACTAAAAGGCTTTGTTAAACTAATTATTACAAATTATATTTGTAGAAGGTGAAAAATAAACTGTGGAAACTAAAAATTTATAATTACTCACCTCTGGAGTTGCCCTGCTTTTGCCGTTCATGTTCCCTCATATCTTCTTCAGGAATACCTTCCATTCCATAAATTTCTATATCTACACTATTTCTATTTGGCAAAGCATTTGGAACTTTATCGAGAGTATCTTTATGCACCTAAAAATGGGAGAAAATGTTTTTAACTGATGACAAAAGGCTTTACAGAGGCTTTTATATATAAAACTAAAATCTTGATGAATTTCAGTTTAGAAATAGATGTTTCAGGATAGAAGGATTACAGTGATGCCTTTAGTGCATTTCACATAATGCGATATAGTGCACTTTCTTTATGACAAAAAAATATGAAATGAACTAAATCCATATTATATTACAAGCGAAAAACCATCCAATGAATAGACTTTATAAATAATATTTATAAATATATTACTATAAAAAAAACATGGTTAGAGTAGAGAGAAAGGTACCCCCTTGTATTATTGTGAAGTTGTAGTTTCATTTATGATAGCCTGAGTAGTTGAATGTTATGGAAACTCTATTATGATGTTAATTGGTTGCATAATAGCGGCAAGTTTGTAAGGGTTTGTGGTGTGTATTTGTTAGGAAGTATATTGCTTGTTTTTTTTTTTTGTTTTAAACAGTAAAATGGCTGAATGTGGTAAGATTAATTTGAAGTTTCTGTACGATTTGGAAAGAAAGGAGAAAAGGGCAATACTTGACTGGTGTGTAAATGAAGGTTTACTTAGTAGACATTATTGAGTGTTCCATTTGTAGAAAGGAAATGCATATGGGCGAATGTTGGACGATAACAACACAACGGAGGATATTTTTTTCCTCTTATTTTGTGAATTTATGTGGCGACACCAGTATACAGATTTTAGTTCATATAATTTTAGGAAGTTTTTGGATGCTGTTATGAAATTTTGTTTGACCGAAGATGTGTTAATTCGTATATGAGATAAGTGGATATTTCCTTTGTGTAGTGCAAATATGAATTTCCTTTCTTATGTTATTTCATTGTTTGATTTAAAATGTAATTTATTGAGATTATACATTTTTTTTGTTGGTTGCTTCTTTGACTTTTTAAGTGAATGTAGTTCAATGTGTACATGGACATAGAGAGTGCGCAATGCCTAGTTTGTGGAATTCTCTGATTTATTTTTAAGTTAAAATAGGTAAATGTGTACATGGATAAAGTCAAGGGAGTGTGCAATTCTGTGGTTTGTTTAAAGTGAAAAATAGGTCGATGTGTACATGGATACCAAGTTTGTGCAATTCTTTTTCTTTTTTGTGCAGCTGAGATTTTTGGTGCAAAAATCGCTGCTACACAAGCCAAAATAACAAGTCAAAGAATTGCACAAGCTCAGTATCCATGTACCAGCAAAAATTGCCAATTTTCACCAAGCGGTACCCGTAAATATATTTTTACTAAAAACATCTCCAAATATACTGACAGAAAACTTGAAAAACGTTTTTGTTTGGTACTTCGCGATTATCTATACCCCTATGAAAAATCAGCAACTTACTGCTGATTTTGGGAACTCACAAAAAGAACATGTCTATAAATAATAATAAAAAGAAACATTTTATAAGAAACAGATTTTGGTAATTAATATCTGAACGCAACCATCTTGGCAAAATTTGGCTACTGTTTACAAATAAAAAGGAAAAGTGGCTGCAAGTACGTGGTTTTTACAAATATTTTTAGAAAGATTCCCAAACTACCAATAGTTTTTAAGTCAGCAGCCATTAAAGAAAACTAACTTTAGAGCTTTAGGGTTTCAGAGACAAACCTTTGCTGAGTTAAGGGAAGGTAATGTTTACAGTGCCATGATTGTTTTGATAAACACACATGATCCACAAGACTTCATAAATTTCAAAATAACATTTCTTTTTTAATTATAAATAGATGAAACATACTGATTACTCAAATGTACAGCATATTTTATTTCACAACATTAATTCATACCTGCATGCAATGAATTGCCAAACCAGGGCCTGTATAGAGCTTTTTGTGACAAATGTGGCACTTGAAATGTTTTGCTTTTTGATGCTGTATTAGTATTTTTTCATCATCAAATTCTCTATTACAATACCTTATAAATATTAAGGAATATACAACACATTTATCTTTATCATATATACTACAATAAGGAAGACCTACGGCATATTATTGTGTATCACTACATAATTTAAAACAAAAACCAACCTTTAATTGATATTAGTTTACTCACGCACCCACACATACAACTACCTGTTTTTAATGACAAGGTAAGAGGTGCCCTTCTCTTTTAAAGAGCAAATATTCTTTGAAGGGTTGTCTATTCAAGTTTTCCTCAAAATACACAGCTTATCTACAAACCCAATATCAATATAAGGTTCATTTTGCCAATCTGAGAATTGTACGCTTCTCTTTTTTAAAATGTACAGCTTATTGACAACAAGGAAACTGAGAAATTAAACAATCCTGTACCTAGATATCCAGATGTTAGAAATAACTATTATTAATTACAACAAGGCTGTGTTCACGAAAATTATCAGTTAAAATACAAATTATATAAATTTAGGCATATTACTAAAAATAAACATTTACTATTAAGCTTGTTTGCTGCTTTAATAAATCACTTAATTTTATTATTACACTGATGGTGCTCCACTGTTAAAAGCATGTTTTTAACTCTAAAAATATATAATAGAAAAAGGGTATTCAAGAGTACAATATTTTATTAAAAAAATAATCAATATATTTAATGACTTCTTAGTCTGAGATTTGGAATTTTCATCAGGAGTTTAGCAATTCTGGATTTTAGATCAGCAGTTTAAACCTAGTGGAGATGACACATAATAATTATAAAACCACAAATATAAAATAGTGTTTTATGAAATAATGGAATATTTATGACCTTAAGGAAATTAAATTGGATGGAAAACTCGATAATATTTATTTATTTATCAAACATTTCTTTCAATGTATGTTGTTTAAGTTGTTTTGTATTTTGGGCTAACATTTTCCCTTTTATTTTATAGGTAGACAATTTCTTGTTCAGTTACAAAGGGCTGCGTTGAGAATGTCCACTACGCTGCCAACTAAATTTTTTTTATTCTCAATGACCTCTAAGTCACCTTCTTTACTATCAGTACCATGCTACAGATTTTGCCATCTGCTAGCTGACTGATGCGCTCTCTTCCCACTGGAAAACTTCTGTTACAACATCATTTCTTCATAAATTCCATTAAAAAATTTTGGTTGTGGCATCATCCAAAAACCTTCAAATTCACAACTATTGTCAGCACTATGAAATATAGTAGCTAGTTATAAATTATACCAAGCATTTTTTTAAACATCGGTAGACATATTATCCCATAACCTAGCAATGTTTCACACTGCAGAGGAGTGTGAAACAAAAAAGAAAGGAGCTATTTTATATCTGCATTGCAGAGCACACTATTCGGGGAAAAAAAAAAAAAAAAAATAAGACATTATTTTCTTAATAAAACTTGAGTGAAGCATGAGTGAAACTGTTGTATATTTACATCATTCAGTAAACCAACTAATTTCAAATGTTGCCCACGCCTCGCATATGAAATAGTTTTCAAACCAATCACTTATTTATGTTTGTGTCATGAGTACTTTTTTATTTGAATGATAAGTCCTTTAAATGCCCCAGGTCATCTATTTCTTCGAATAACGAAAAGGTTACATTCATGCATTACATATGCAAAAACTATTTGTCTTGTTTTGGAACATTTGACATGAGTTCAGACTTTTCTACAGACACTGCCAAGGTAATTTAGGACCACACTGAGAAGAGAAGAGAAAAAAAAAAAAAAAAAAAAAAAAAAAAAAAAAAAAAAAGACTACTTTTGTCATCATTAGAAATTTGTTCCGGAGATAACTTTTCAATATTATTGAGTTCGATGAATTATTTGGCTCTTTCAGTAACTTCAAAAGCTTTTCCCCCTTAAATTTTTAATCACCTTACTCCAGCACTGGCCTCAAATTGGCAAACTCCGAAGACATTTCAATTACGTGATAGTTTTCTGTAAGAAATTGCCAATGGCCTTGCTAGAAACTATGATAAATAATTTAATCGCATGCAGCCTTCATGTACCATGTCACATGAATATTATTTTAAGAGCTTTGGGTAAAATCCTAGTATACTGTACGGCCTTGGTGCGATTTCGAAAATTGTTGAAAACACCAAAATGACTCATTTACTGCTCATCATAAAGTCGCCAAATCCCGTGTACTGATACTCGGATTACACCGAGCTCTGGAAAGGTAAAAAGAAAAAAAAAAAAAAAAAGAGACGATACTGTAAAACAGTGGTTTCAGACTGGTGGCCCTTGAACTAATTTCATGTGGCCCACAAAGACATATCAACATATTTGTTGCACATATGCTATTATAAAGATTTCAAGATATTAGTTATTTGAAGTCAGAGCTTATGCTATTTCCATTTTTATTAAAAAACAAATAAAACACCAGAAACTCTATAAATGGAGCTAATTTGTTTACAATGATGGGTACTATTCCGTTTTGAGGGCCGTAAAAAAAATTGCAGCGAAAATGTATGCACAAACGCGCCAAATCTAGCAAATGTTCCCATTTAAGAGCGTGCCAAATCTAGCGTACGCGCTGATTTCAGATTGTGTAAGTTCATATAGTTCTATATTTCTTAGGACGCCATTGAAATACTAGTTTAATTTTTAAATCCTTTTTTTGAGAGCCTATGGATTTAACAATTTGGGAATTGCCCATGATGAAAGGTCTGCGAATTTTGGGTAAAGTGCAGAATCATGCACTGCCTGACACGTTTTTAAGAATTGCACATACACGGTATCCATGTACACATCCGACTTATTTTTACTTAAAAAAAAATTCCAGAATTGCACAAAAATGGCACTGTGCACACCCTTTATCTATGTACACATCGACCTATTGTCACTTAAAAAGTAAAAGAAAATTGACAAAAATCCAATTGTTTTTACCCTTGTAAAAAGCGGCAAACAGATAAGTGGGTGATTCTGCACTTTACCGAGAATGTTTTCAAAGAAAAGGCATCATTCTTTATAGAAAATTATGTTTGAACAACCAACAAGATGACATTATGCTTTAGCAAAAACTCGGTACTGAAATAGCTATGCAGGCATCCATTCAGTTATACTTAGCAATTTTTATATACTAAATTATAATAATGATCTGAATAATTATTTACTCTTACGCTTCCATTCAGCCATGTTTAGCTTTTTATATATTTAACCTTTTATATATTAACCTTTCATCTAAATTAAAACATCAATCTTAGATAGTTATTTACTATTATACTTCCTTTCTGGGGTTAGGGTAGTCGCAATTATTTTTGGCAGAGGCGATTTTTACGGCTCTCAAAACCGAATAGTACCCCAATTATGTGATGTGAATCTTATTCAAAACACTGCAGATACAAATTTAATTAACTTTTGTTCGTATTTGTAAAAAAAAAAATAAAGAAACCCAATTAAGAACTTGTGCACTAGGAATAATCACTTTGTTTGGGAATAAAAATATTGAAATACATTTATTTTTTTAATGACACAACAAATAAACAAACCCTCTCCCACCAAAAAAACGCGTTGAAGGAAATAAACATTGGCATTACTGCTAATATTACCCACATTTAAAAATAAACATGTGAGAAAATGCAGATTTTTCACTGTCATCTTTACTATGATTAGAAAATGCGTTTACTACTGTTGAACAGTCAGAATATTCGGAACAGAGGATAAACATAAATAAAGGAAACATTAAACTTTTAATTACTAATACATAAATGAAGTTCTTAGTGAAAAAAAAAAATGGAAAGGAAGGATAGAACAAAAAGTGAAAAATACCAATCGCACAAATAATTAAATAGCTCAACGATCATTTTAAAGGATACCAGCACCAAGGTTTGGAAGGCTTCTTTTTCTTTCGTCCCATAGTTTTCAAAAAAATTAAAGCTGGACAGTAAAATTTAATACTCTAGGCACAAAAAAATGGGAATGCAGGTAATAAAGTCACAAAGTAATTGAAAAGAAGATTAATATATTTTCACAACGCCTTTGCTACGTCAATTGACACCATTTTCTCAATATCACGCAGCGGTTCACAGTTTTAACGTAACATTAACTGAATGAACGTATAACATGCTTTAACATATATAGGATTTTTCGCTGATTATTAAATAATTCTAAGATTATATTCCAAATATTTATTCCAAAACAGATACTTGATTATGAATAATGTGAAAATTATATATTTTTCTATCAACAGCCATTCTATTGACAACCAGAAATAATTTAAACCTCAGTTTGTTAAGACGATTTGTATTTTATACAGTATCTGTATCGGCGTTCGATATTCATGATGGCGGACGAAGGTATGAATTCCTCTTTTGGTAGAAATTAAAATAGTGTTTATAAATGTTATCAGTTATTATCTGTATTCTAAAGCAGTTATATGAAATATTTTATAAGTTTTTCTTTCAGGTAACTGTTCATGTGTTAGTCAAATAATTTTGGTTAAGTAGGAAAGGTTTATGAATCATTTCCTATATTTCTGTAACATAAAAATATTATAAAAATTACAGCTTTTCCAAAGTGAAGGTACTGCTGTTTATTAGTAATCAGTTTGCTGTAATCATTTTGTTAAAATTTTGTAAAATTCTGTTCTCGATAAGCATTTTTATTAAATTTGAGAGTAATTTACACACCTTTTCTTTCAAATAGGCGTGAATGTAGAATTCTTACCCTATTTTATCGTCTTGTAATTTATATCATTTTTTAATTAAAAAATGTAAACGGTGAATGTGTACATGTGCGATAAAAAGTCAGCAAGTAGGCATGTTTTTTTTGCCCCCCACCCCGAAAAAAAAATTATTGCCTTGTTTTAAGCACAAATTATTTACCGTAAAATTGTTGTATACTTGTTTTAATATTGTAAAGATGCACACTTTTGAAATGAGCAACAATTTGAGTAACCTAATATTAATTTAATAAATTAACTAGTTAAATAAATTAAAAACATAGTGCATGTGTTTTGTTTATATTAATCATGATGGAAAGAGTTTGATTTAATGACTTGAATAATGAGTTAATTTTTAAACCGTATTTTACATCCTTTGCACAGTTTTTATATACTTTATTTAAAAGGTCCTATAATTTAGGTAGCATCTTTTTTTTTTTTTTTTTTTGTGTGTGTACAGTCCTATAATTGTGATTATTTACACTTTTAAGAGTAAATTTATTGGGGGAAAAGTAAGTTTTTTTAAATTGAGAATTATAAGAATAATAATAATAAGCAACAAGTTTGGAATTGAAGTATTGAAATGTAGTGAAAACATGGGAAACTGAATTATTCAGATGATTTTAAATTATGCTGATATTCATCTTGTAGAATTCGTTTTTTAACTAGAGGCATAGTTATAGGGTTTATCAAAAATTACAAATATAACAAAAATAATTTTATTCAATGAATTATCAGTTAGTCTAAGCTGTCTGTTTATATCAGGAATTATAGTATTGGTTGACTGTTGGATGACTAGATCAGGATTGTCCAGAGCCATTTAAAATTTTTCTATAAATTTATATGCGAATAGTTACTGCTTCCATGAATATAAGAGAAAAACAAAAGCATTATTAATAAGCTGTAACATTAAGCAATTTCACATGCTCAAGTATTGTGTCTTCACAAAGTGTAAATCTTAGGAATTGTAGTTGAGTGAAAAAGAGATGTGTATACAAATTGTTATGAATCTAGCGCAAAATGCGAATTTCATCTCACAGATAACGATAAATATTAATTGAATAAAAGCTTATGTAACTGTTAGAAAAATTCTATTACAGGTCTTGGTAAATTTTAAAAATGAGCAAAATTATGCTCTTATTTATCTTCTGTACTGTAAGGTTGTTCAAATAAAACAATTTTAGGCTTCATATTTTTAACCTTCTGAGTGACTATGCTTTCTAGATCAGATTATGATCAGCTGTATTTTCATATCATTTGTCAGGTAGCTTTACATATTAGCTCATTTGGGAAGTTCTGCTGTTTTTCAAATCGAAGCATATTTTCTTTTAATTATCTTCCAGTTCAAATATCTGCACTTTTCTAAGTATTGTCTGCTTATTAATTGCATTTTTCTTTTGTTTTTGGCAACTATTGCAATGTTATGTTTACTTTTGATGTGTTTGTTCTAGTACTTTTGTATGTGATGTTTTATTCGGTCGGATATTAAGGAGAATGCATACACCACAAGAGAAAGCACAGATTTTATGGTGGTTCATAGAAACGAAATCCATAATGCAAACACAGAGAAATTACAGAAGAATTTACCAAAAAGATCCTCCATCCTAAAACAGCATCTTGTGGTGGAAAACGAATTTTCTAGAAACTGGAAGTATTACTGATAAGAAGTGTTCCGGACATCCGTGCACAAGTATTTTGATGTTGAGCGTGTCAGAGAGACATTTTTACACAATCCTAGAAGATCTGTGAGATCAGCGGCAAGAGAATTGGATATGCCAATTTCGACGATGTACAAGGTTATTAAAAAAAAAAAGTTAAGACTGCGTGCATACAAAGTTCAAATTGTTCAAGTTTTGAAACCGGACAGTAGGCCTAGGAGGATGGCCTTTGCAACAGATATGCTAAGGAGGATTGAAGATGATGCTGAATTTCTGAAGTGCATAAAGTTCTCCGACGAAACATCCTTTCATCTTTCTGACATTGTTAATCGCCATAATGTGCATATATGGGGATCTGAAAACCTCCATGAATACCGTGAGGCACAAATGAATTCCGTGAGGCACAAATGAATTCCCCAAAGGTTAATGTGTGGTGTGGACTAATGCATGACCGAGTCATTGGGCCTTTCTTTTTTACAGAAAAGACGGTCTCATCAGTCGTATACTTAGACATGTTGGAAAACTTCATATTTCCACAACTAGAAGAGCTTCAGCCGCATGTCTTTTTGCAACAAGATGGTGTACCACCTCATTGGGGTACCATCGTTCTTAGTTCTTTGAATGACCATTTTACAGGAAGATGGATTGGGCGAGGAGGTCCAATTCCTTGGCCACCCAGATCACCTGATATAACGCCGGTGGTCTTTTTTCTCTGGACATTTGTAAAGAACAACGTTTACAGGAGGAGCGTGTCGAACATTGATGACCTAAAAGCCAGAATTACAACCGCAACAGCCTCTGTGGATGCCGACATGCTTGCCGGTACCTGGCGTGAAATTGAATATCAACTTTATATTCTCCGTGTGACGAAGGGGGCACACGTGGAAGTTCATTGACGAGGGTCATGAAACATTTTGAGCCTATCTAACCATTTATGTTATTAAATTTAATCTATCTTTATTATTTTATGAGTTATTAAACATCAAAATGGGTCCGGTACTTTATAAACACCCTGTATATCCAGTATTTATCTTTAAGAAAAGGTAAGTGGAGAGTTACATGCACATGGCAACATACAAGAGTCCAAAGTTCATGATACACATTTTATCTGTCTATCGTGAGAACCATTCTCACTAATATGTTTAAAATAAACTATTTTCGGTACTTCTCCATTTTGCCGGCGCAAACGATAAAGTCACCAATAAAGGTACAACTGATGCCAAACTGAATATCTTCACTGGTAACTTTTTACACCTCATTTTCAAAACAAGTCACAGCCATTTCTTACCAGATTGATTGTTTCTTTCAATACTGGCATACAGGTAGATAGAATACTTATAAAGATAATTAAATTTTATACCCTAAGACCATTCGCGGTAATTAAGTCAATTAGGATGCAATCACACCGCTCACCCGCAGGCAAAAATATAAAAAAGGCAAAATCAAGGGTTAAATTCATCAATTCTAATGAGGATGCACTAGCAAAGTAAAGCACTACGATTTTACATAATTTTTTAGTAAGCTATTTGTATAAATTGAAATAATTCTTGCATTTAAACTTGTATTCAAAATTAAGATTTAACTTCAAATTAATGTAGATAATTACTGAGAGAATTATATTTTTTTAGCATAGTTTACGTGAGATGCGATCATTTGGGGTCACATGGTACGAATCAGAAGTTGAACCATGATAGCATAGTAAATTCTTTAATTAATGTCTTTTTACAAATTTGTTGTCTTTATTTATTGGCTTTTTACAAAATTAAAAACCATATTAAACCTTCAAAATAAAAATTCTTAGAACTAACATTTGTTAAAATTTTTTATGTGTATACTCTATTTTGTTGCCAACAAAGTCTGTTTGGCGAGATTTACGCTGGCAAAATGAAAAAGTACCCTATTTTCTTTTTTTAATATCTGTTGCCAAACAGTATGATTAGTGCCAGTTATGGATAAGTGGGATATTTCAATACAATCATTGCCCTTTTTTCTTATTTTTTGTAAAGAAGGATATGTATTAACTATTTATCTCCCTCCCCCTTTTGCATTTTGAAAAAGTTAATATTGGATCTGCCTTTTATTGGCAGGTGTGCAGTGGAGTATTTTCAAAATTACACGCTAGCAAGCAAAATGTGCATTAATAGGCATGATATGCATTTTTATTTGAAAATGAATAAATAGTGGGGATGCAGAATAATTGAGACAAGTGATTAAAATTTTTATATGCCATATCTGTGGTTTATATATTTGTATTATTTAAGTAAAATAAAGAGCTATCAGTCATTCAAATTTCTGCTAAAATGATTGGCACGATTTTGGTGAAATCTCTGCCATAGTCAATGGGATTTCATAACTGGGTAACCTGTTTTACTGTCTATAAATAAGGCTTAAGAAAATACAGTGTGTTTTATGTGAAATCTCTCTCTCTCTCTCTTTTTTTTTTCAAAAATTTTACATTATGTTAAATGTAGGCTTTTGATATTCAAATTAATAACAAATGAGATGACAGTTTTTATAATCATTCTTTACAAATCTGAAGATTTCTTTGCCCATTCATTTAGATTTATTGCAAATTACACTTTTTATACACTCAGCTTACAGAATTTTTGTGTGTCTGGCATTTGGTTATTTCCCGAGCCTTCTGCCTAATCAAGCTTTTTCTGTACTAAAATAATGCTGAATGAATTTCAAGAAAATTTATTTTTCTTATTTTAAATTATTGGTGATAAGCCATAATGTATGCTTTTGTTAAAATTTCCTTGGAATTGCAATCTTTGCACATAGTTTACATGTAATCTAAAAGGGAAGAGTAAGCTGGCTAAAAGGTGACTAGTTAATTCTAAAATGCCAACTTAACAGTAATAAAAAGCAATGTAGGAAAAACTATAGGTACACTGACTTCAAAAGAAAATATTTTATTGCAGAAAATTAAGACTGGTTTGAAAAAAAAATAATTAGGTTATAAGATACAGTGAAAATAACATGCAACAGAAGAAGGGAAAAAATGCTATAGAGTAAGTAAACTAATATAGTACAAAGTATTAATATAACTGTCAGGAAAATCTGAAAAATCGTCTAAATAGAACTCTCCAGTACCATTTTTTTCGCTCATTGTGAACTGTAAATTTTTTTAAAATGGTGTGAAAATGTTAGAGTTTACGAAGCAACGCAAGTGAGCAATGTACCTCAATACTACTAATAAAATGCAGATGATATAACAAATGGCAATTGCTTATTGTCATAGTTACCAATTCATAGGCTATTTTTGAGGTAGCCTCGAGAAAAAAGCGATTAATAGGTCAGTAGCTGATCTATCGGTCAGTAGGCATTGGCGAAAAAAGCCGATTAGTAGGCTATCGGTCGGTAAGCTTTGGCGAAAAAAAGCCGGTTAATAGGTTATTAGTTGGTAGGTGGCGAAAAAATCCAATTAATAGGCCATCAATCAGTAAGCATTGGCGAAAAAAGGCAATTAATAGGTGAGCGGTCGGTAGGTGTTGGCGATAAAAAGCCAATTAATAGGCTATCGGTCGGTAGGTGTCGGCGATAAAAAGCTGATTAATAGGCGATCAATCGGTAAAGTGTTGAGGTATGCAGTAGCAGCTGCAGTTTTCCCAAATGCATTGTATCAGTTTAGTGCAAACAGCTTGTCCTAAAAGGATTTATTTGTGGATTCTTTTCTTTATTTCTTAAGAAGCAGAAAGGATGTAATTTAAAATTTTCACTCTTCTTTGTGCATTAATGGATGGGGAGGGGACGAAATTGCTGTGACTGTCGAAAGGTATTTTGGGCAGTTCGGTATATTAACAGACAGGTTAGCAAAGGCTTCAGTTTTCAAAGAGCTAATCCTTTTGGGATAAATGCTATAGCTAGAAGTATTAATTTACATATGCCATACCTTCCATCACATATTTAGTGGTGTGTACTTATGTACTTGAATAACTAAAAGAATTTATCATAATTCCAAATTAATAAGGATTTTGAGGAAAGCAGAAATAAAAGCCTTTAAGGTAGCCAATATTTTGCAATATCCATTAAACTTTTTGCAATGAAAAAAAATATTCAATCAGTGTTAATTTTTCCTTTTTAGCAAGATAGCTTACTTATTATATTCTAAATCTTCTCAGAGAAGGGGACTGAAATTAAAAAAAAAGGCATTTAGTATTTTTTTAAGGGCATTATTAAGAAGAAATAATGCAAACACATTAAATTAATAGAAAAAGAATTCCATAATGTATTTTTTCATCTCAGTAATAGCATAAATATTGTTTAATATCATTGCTTAATTAGTTTCCATTGTTAAACCTAGTTAATACTTAATAAAAATTCCTGTGTTTATTTATATTGTAATCATTTTATTAATATTATATATTATTTCCTTATTCAGTACTATTCGGTTTCGAGGGCCGTAAAAAATCGCCAAACTATTGTTGATGCCAATGCTGCCAAAAATAATTGCGACAAGAAAGGAAGTATGATAGTAAATAACTATTTAAGATTGATGTTTTAATTTAGATGAAAGGTTAATTTGATATAATACTTTTTTATTATTATAATTTATATGAAAAAAGGTAAACATGACTGAATGGAAGCATAAGAGTAAATAACTATTTCAGATCATTATTCTAATTTATATAAAAATTGCTAAACATAACTGAATGGATGCCTGCATCGCTATTTCGCTACCGACTTATTGCTAAAGTATAATTTCATCTCGTTGGTTGTTCAAACATAATTTTCTATAGTGAATGATGCCTTTTCTTTGAAAATATTCTTGGCAAACAAATAAGTGCAGAATCACTCTTATTTGTCACTTTTTACAAGGGTAAAAAAATTGGATTTTTGTCAATTTTCTTTTACTTTTTAAGTGAAAATAGGTCAATGTGTACATAGATAAAGTCAAGGGTGTGCGCAGTGCCATTTTTGTGCAATTCTAGGATTTTTTTTTTAAAGTGAGAGTAGGTCGATGTGCACATGGATACCGAGTATGTGCAATTCTTAAAAACGCGTCAGGCAGTGGGTGATTCTGCACTTTACCCAAAATTCTATTGCCCACTTTTCGTCATGGGCAATTCCCAAATTGTTAAATCCATAAGATATCAAAAAAGGATTTAAAAATTAAACTAGTATTTCAATGGCGTCTTAAGAAATATAGAACTATATAAACTTACGCAATCTAAAATCAGCGTGTACGCTAGATTTGGCGCGCTGTTTAAATGGACGCGTTTGCTAGATTTGGCGCTTTTGCGCATACATTTTCGCTGCAATTTTCTTACGGCCCTCAAAACCGAATAGTACATATTATCCATATAAATTAATAATAATATTAATATTTATTATATTATCCATATAAATTACTGAAATTGCTCCAGACATGCAATTTTCTCTTTTTCTTTTTATTAGTTTCATTCTTTACAAAAGCTTTAAAAGAAAAAAAAAAAAAAAAAAAAAAAAAAAAAAAAAAAAAAAGCTTTTACATAAATTACTGTATTTATTTATAGCATTTCTAATGTTTCAGATGCAAAAAGGGTCTGCCAAAAAATGTATATTTTACATATTTTAATCTATTTTTTCGCCCTTGATGTATGTTTAAAATCAAGTTTTCTGTAATTTGTAGTAGTATACTTATCCAAAATTTCTTTTATTTTAGGTGCTTCTTCAAGTAGCAATTCAGTTGATGAAGTAAGAAAAGTTTTTTTTTTCCATTGTATTGGCATTGATCTTTCAGTTGTGAAATTGTTTTAAAAACTATAGATGTAAACTATTCATAATAGTTCATAATAGACTGGGTTCATAATAGATTGAATGCACACAGAAACAATGATAGCTGTATAAAATTTATTTTTACCAAAAAGAACATTTTGCAGTTCTGCAACTTTCCATAAAAATAATCATACAAATCTTCACAGTATCACTGAGTACAATACATAATTACACTTCAAACTACACAACGTACATTAAACATAATGCAATGCAAAGTGCATCCAAAAGGCGAAGCTGTCCTAGATAGCTCAATACTCAGATTTCCGCTTTGAACTAATAATAACCAAAAGCATATGCTGCCTTTTGTTCTTACACAGTTTTCTCTTGGTTGCTAAGAAATCTCTGATAAATTCCATTTCTCGAAATTACTGGAAAGCATATATGGTTCAAGTTACATTACATCTAAGAGTCAGATAAAGTTAGTTGCATATATAGATTAATCAATTACAGTTATTTAGTTACAATATGTATTATGGTGATACGGCATATCAAAATGTCGCCAGTGGCCGCGAAACTTGGGCGACAAAAATTTATCATCAAAAATCATTTTCGTTGTTTGACATCTTCAATAATTAGGGGTTTCCCTATTTATCTTTAGAACTAAAAACAGCTTTACATTTTTAGATAGGAGCATTGATTTTATAACTTTGCCAGTGACATTGTGAGCATAACTGGTGCCCAGGGCACGATACCTTTTTGGTACTCTCTGAAAATCATATAGTAATTTAATGTATAGAATATAATTGTAGTAAGAATATAATAATAAAGTGCAGTATTTGCCTTAAAGTACTCTATAATATATTATGAATAGTCTTTACCTTACTACACTTTTACAAAATGCTGTACAGTTTTTTGGAATACAGGCTCAAGTTAGCCTTTAAATCTTAGACAAAAAAAAATATAGTTAAAATGTCAAGATTAGGATTGGATTTGGAAATGTATCTCTGTCAGTGGAAAAATCAGACATACACTTATCTAGAAAGTTAAAAAGCTATTACTTATTTTACATATTTATATAATTGTTTTAAAAACGTACAATTTTTAAACAGTGAAAAGTGTTAATATATAAATAAATAAATTTATTAATAAGATAATATTAAATGTATTACTACAGTTAATTGCTGTGTAAACATTTTTCTTGCTTTTGAGGAAGCAGATTTATCAATTTATCAAAGTTGATCATTTCAAATTATTCTCTTTCCACATTTAAAAATACTAGGTCACTTTTCCCAATCTTGTCCTATTATTGGTTGTAAATATGCCAAAATTAATTTTAATATGCTGAGCGAATATTCACAGCTAGCAGTTGTATTTGAAGTGTGGCTCTCAGGTTTGGAAAAACATTTTCGCCATACGACATTATAAAGGATTACAAAGTTCAAATGGGGTTTTAGGTTCAATTTCTTTTCTATTGCAGAGTAATATCTTACAATCACATATTCCCACATAGAGTTCTGTTCCATTAAAATCTGTATTAAATTCTCCCAATTTTTACAATTCTTTTCAATATTTTTTTATTCTTTTCAATTCTTTCTTTACAATTCTTTTTACAAATTTTTTCAATTTTTCTCAACACTATCCTTGTTTAATAAAATTTCAATGTCCAGTAAAATTCCAAATTTGGAATTAAGGTCACCTAGTTGTGTAAATTGTGTACTTATTTCCTGCTGTAGATGATCAGGAATGCTTTTTATAATGTAAGAAATTTCACTTTCTGTGGAAAGGCCAACATCTGTACCTAATTCTCCAAGTATTTTTTTGCGTCTTCTAACACAGATTGTATCAGTAAACCATTTTCACATTTTAACCTTTCCTATTGCCTTTTCACAGATTTGGTCTCGGATTTCTGCAAGTTCAGTCGCTGATGCTTCAAGATGATGCAGTGCTTCTCTAAAATTCATTTTAGGATCCTGTAATCAGAGCTGCACAGGATCTGAATTTAAAAAATTTGTGACTGACTATTCTATTAAGTCCAATTATGTGCTATTATAACATAGTATAAAAAGAAAAAAGATTTCAGAAGGGTAATAGAATGAGGCAATTCCGATAGTTGGTCAAAGTTTTTAATGTTTTTAAATGTATGGTGTCTGTGCTGCATGAGGGGCACTCAGACTATATAACAAACTAACAAACCTAAAGTCCTCTTGAGAGGTTGATGGTAAGGGAAAAGTGATGAGAGACCTTTAGGTCTGTCCCTCTCCAGGTGCTCTCCTTCAAAACTGAGCATATAGACAGACTATCACCTCGGTGGTGCTCAAGGCTCTGGCCAACATCAAACACAATGCTTTACTTCTTGCTATGATAATAATTCAAAGGCTTATTCTGAGAATATTCGTGAGCTTTTAAATTTCCTTGAAGCATCAAATTCTACTAATATTTGCATCAGTATTTAAAATATTCTATCAAACTGTGACATAATGTTCCCCTCCCATTTTTCATATCAGTTCTGAGTAATCAACCCATAGTTTTATTCTTTGGCTAGTAATGTAAGAAGGGATTTCTGTTCAAACAATAGTTAGAGATTGACTTTTCTGTGATGCATAGTATTGGAATAATTTATCTGTCTACTGTATTTTCATGGAGGAAGCATTTTACATCCTTCAAAAATCAGGCTTTAATAGGTCAGAAAAAGTTTTTATTTGATCATTATTCCTTGTATGTAAAGAAAGGGCTATTTTGCTATACATGTTTATATATTTTTTAATATAATTTGAAAACTGTCTGCTGATTTTTTCCCCTATTTTTTTCAATTTAGGTTGATGATAGACAAGAATGTCAACAGCCATCATATACCTCTAGTAAGCTATATTAGTTATCCGTTTAAAAATCCATTTTTGTAAATTTTTTTCTTTGATGTCCAAAATTTTAGTGCTATATGGCTAAAATTCTTTTTTAGTGCATTTAAATTTATTGTTTATGGACTTTACGGGATCCTAGAGCATAAAGATTTAATAGTAGACAAGCAAACTGGAGAAAATTTTTTCCCCTTTAAATTGAATAAAAATAAAGTTAGGAGAATTGGGAACTACTCTGATATGTGCCCTCAAGTCGCCAAATTTCTTGCCAAACATTTTTGGCGAGAAACTTCACGCTGCCATATTACTATCTAAATTTTTTGTCTACATTTCGAATTTTAAGCCTAAAATGTCTCCAAAAACGCTGTTTTCGCACATGCAAAAACTACATTTTGAACACACGAATTTAAGCTAAAAATTCCGAAACAAGGAAAAAAAAAAGAAAAAAAAAAATTTAGATAGCAAAAACGTAAAGTTTCTAACCAAAAATATTTGACTAAGAATCCATGTACATAGCGACATGTTTTAACTTAAAAAATCATCTACGAATGGCACAATGTAGGCAACGAACGAATCTACGAACTACGCATACCTCGCTTTAATAAATTAACATAACAACAATAAATTTCAAAGAATACCATGTACACAGCATCCTGTTTAAACTTTAAAAAACATCTACGAATTGCACAATTTAGGCAAGGAACGAATCTACGATCTATGCACACCTCGCTTTAATAAAATAACATAACAACAATAAATTTCAAATAATACCATGTACGCAGCGTTCTGTTTCAAAAACAACAATAACAACAGAAATTCATACTAAAGAACCAATGAACATAACATTCTACAAAATAAGAACAAGAATAAAAAATGCACTTACCATGAATTAATGCTTTTTCAAACAGCAGAAATACCAATTTCATACCGCCTTTAACATGCTGCCACGTAATCACTATCGTATTTACATGACAGCCAGACACACTCCAGAAAATTTATACTATGGTTCACAAATAAACAAAATCACAAACCCCTACTTCTATCATGCACAGCCATTAAAAATAATCTCCCAGACCCTCTTTTCACACCTCCAAATACCCACTACCCCTCAACAGGATGGCCACAATGGTATTTCCTTTTGCCGAACTTCAATTTAACAACTACCATTTTATCTTTCCCTCCCATCTTCTCAGACACAGATGCGAATCAACGAGCTCCAGCCTCCAACAAAAGATTTTTCAACGTCAACAGGATTGTCATAGAACACACAATCGTGCCAAGAACCAGCGCAGAACACGTCGCCACATTTGGTGAAATTAGGGCGTATATCAGAGTTGTACCGAGAATTGTATTAGTTTTTTACTTCAGATTTCATGCAAAAGTATAATATGAAGTGAAGAAGTAAATAAAATATATGGAAACTAAAATGCTAAAATGGGAATATTGCAAAATAGTTGCTGCACCTTTGAAAAGATTTTTTTAACAAAGGTCTAATTAATCTAGAAAATGTTTTGAGAGTTTCGAACGTAGTCTTTTTCCTCTTTAAACTGAGAAAAGCGTGCAAATTTAGTTTATGAGCTGGAATATAAAGTTATATGTTTACATATTTATATAAATAGAGAAATTTTTTTAGAATTATTGTAAGAAATGTTATTTTTGTCATCAGAAGTATTAGTAAGAACTTCTTTTTTGGTTTTTTTAAAAATTTTAACGATTAATTTCAGTGTTTGAAATAATAGAATTTATTTAGATGTATTTAGATCTACGTAATATTTTGATTATTAGATTTATTTAAAATTATGTATGTGCTTTATTAGTTTTTTATGTATTTATTTAATACACACGTTAATTTTGGTATTTGCTTAAGTTTCAAAATATATTTTATTTGTTTGAAGGTAATTTAAATTTCTTTTTCTGTTTCGTCTTAGTCAAAAACATTATCAGTAATTAGGCTATGTGAGAGGTGGATGCCATTGACATGTAAAAAGACAACATATTTGATGGGGAAAAATTGTATTTACTTCAAACTTTCCACATTTATCGAAATATGTAAAATGTAATTAAAGATTTTTAAATATTGAATATTTAAAAGATATTTTAAGAGATATTTATTGTTTCTGGATTCTCTTTGAACATGATGTTAATCATGATTGCAATTTATGCCACTCCATAAATCTGCCAACTAATATACCAAATAATCCAAAAGTCAGTTAACATTTGAAACTGCCCGCAATATCGTAAAATCATAAGAACAAATAATATGATATAATAACAAGGTTGCCACGCTACCTAGAAAACCGGAAAGAGCCAGGGAATTCGAAACTTGACCAAAAAAGTTAGGGAATTAAAATTTTAGTCAAAATGAATGTCATGGAATTCGTATGGTATGAAGGAAGGTATATCATGAAATTTATACATATGAAAAATGGGTGAAGATGAGGCTTGGTTGTCCAGTGCTTCGTAGATCTGTTGTTGAAACCTCGTTTCATGGTGAGAAATAAATGGTGAGGTGTGGATTTACAACATCATCTGTGATCAGGCTGTATTTCTTTCAGAAGATTAGCTGATAAACACCTACCTTAAATTCCAACTTTAATGCAGTATGCACCAAACTTATGTTGTTACGCATGTGAAAAATCTCTCATGCACATCATTTAGAGAGGATCAATGCTGAGCTGGCGTATCTGTCATGCTTGACCTCGCAGATCTTCAGATTTCAGTCCATGTGATTATTGATTATGGTGTTACTTGAATTTGCAAGTCTACTGTGGTCATCCAGCCTTATTAGGGATTCTTGAAGATCCTATGGTGACAATTTCTCACTGTTCGAACGGATGAGCTGTTTACGATGTCTTTCAGTTGTTGAATGGTGGTCGACATGTTGAGTTTTTGTTACGACAAATATCATCTTTGCTAATACGTAGATGAATTATTATCCTAATTATCATTTGTCAGATTAGACTTCATCTATTGACCGTTTCTTAAGATTTTGAAAATACCCTGTTTCATTTCAAGCAAGCATCTTAATTTTTATTTTTCTGTGTACATTATTCCATGTATCACTGAATTTTCGAATGTTAATTGACTTTTGGATCACCTTGTTTAATTTGGTAGACATAAAAAAACATTCTAGCTGTGTTGAAGATCTGTCGAGTGAAATTAGTTATTGAACGACTGCAAATAAAATGAAATTTTCTGTTTTGGGGTGAATGATATTTTGATCATAATTTCTTACTTTCTATTAAGAGCTGGATGTTTACAGTTGTTCATTTATGAACTATAGGAGCATTTACTAGGTACAGTAAGACCCCGCTTAACGCTGTTTCGGTTTAGCGCTCTTTTATTTCAACCCGGGGATTCCACGAAATCACTCGCAGCATACGGGGATTCCCCGAAATATTATGCAGCGATAGGTTTCAAATACATATCCGAAAGAGTGTACTTGTATTTCTTGTTTGGTGCGGTATTGTACAGACATATTTTGAAGGGGTAAATGTGGAAGATGTCGAAGAAAAAATTCAAGAAGCAGCAGCTAGTCTTTCTAATGATGAGCTCAAGGAATTAACTGAACAAGAAGAAAATAAAAATGTTGACAGCAGTGATTCAGAAGAAGAGCAAAAAGAACTTTCTATGGCGTTTGTAAAAAGGAGTTTGTCTACCATAACTGAAATAATGGATCAATTCATTGAAAATGATCCGAATTTTGACAGGAGCTCAAAAGTAAGGCGTGGTGTTAGAGATGCTCTATCCATTTATGAAGAACTTTTAAGAGAACAACGCAAAAGAAAAAGGCAAACAACATTAGATGCTTTTGTCACAAAAAGGCAGAACACTGAAAACGCGGAAGGCTAACTAAATATGACTGACTTAGAATTTTATTTGTTTTTTTTTTAAGAATATTCGTTTTGTTATTTATATTTTGTTTTTATTTTTACAAGAAATAATAATGTGGTATTACTTTGGGCTTTAAGATATAAATGTTTGGTTTTATTTTTATTAAAAAAACATACTTTTTAAATTTAATACCTAACCAATTTCCTAGCCATCTTCCCCTAAGCCCAATATTTACATGTAAAGATAGCCTCGTTTAGCACTGTTTCGCATTACGTTCTACTTTGATGGAATGTATCCTCCGCGTTAAGCGGGGTCTTACTGTACTGTGTAATGTGGTAGAAGCTCCTGTTAATAGGCATCAACTTTCCAAATTGATTCATCTTCTTTTATCTTTTTTTTTTCTTTCTGTTATATAGGTTCTTATCCCTTAAAGAACATTTGAAAATTTCACAATTGTCAAAGGCATTAGAATTTTGAAGATCATTCCCATGGATAATATAATTTACAAATGTGTAATCAGATGCAGAGATGAAGGTCTGCAAAAACAACATCTGTAGGTCAAAAGTAACATTTAGATAACCTGGAAGATGATTTTATTATGAAGAATTATAATGAAACTCACAACAAAAATGCTAGTGAACTACTACTACATAAATTTCTTATATTTGCCAGCTGTCAAAGCTATAAACTCTGAGGTTTTTAAGAGGCTGCCACTGACCATTGTTGCCCTTGTTGATTTTGAGGGTTGCCATTGAAATCGATAGTCTTGATTAAAAAGAATTCCAAACAGAAATTTGTTGCTTTGCCTAATTTCATATTTTACTTTGGTTTTCTTTTTTTTTTTTTTTTTTCTGAACTTTTGAAATTATTTTGAGCCCCGGATATCATAATTTGCTGTACTTGAACTGATATTTTTTAAACTGAGCCGCATAATAAACTCAAATATGTTTGGAGCAGAAATGATTTCGATAAGGAAAGAGCATTGCATATTCTTAATCATATGAAGTCAATTTTTATTTAATGCAGCTGACTTTTACTATCTCTCCAGTATTAAATGCAATTTGTCATTACCGTTTCTTTTTAATCAGAGTACTGTTACATTTCTCAGGATAGTTACATTGTTCAGAATAATTTCCAAAGATATTAAGCTGATTTTTTATTGTGCAAGGTCAAGATGTTTTTCAATGATAATAATAATAATAAAACTTCGTTTCTTCTTTTATTGTATAACATTATTTCCACATGCTGAAAGAAAGGTATTTATGAATTAAGTAATTGTCAAATATTGTTAGATGCTGAAGCCGACATTACATTGTTTTAAGTGAAGAATTTTATTTCAGGAATTTTGTCTTTTGAAATTATATGGAAGTTGAAGTAAAAGAATGGTTTTTTTTAGGAAGGAAAATTGCTGTTTTCTGAATATCACATTTCCTCACATTATTCCCACCTCTTTTTATTTACTAATAATATCGTCCAAAAATTGAGAGGCGAAAATTATGCAAATAATTTTATTTCTGATGGACATGGTTACAGTAAGAACACGACAAATGAAAAATAGTTGTGGATAAACTACAAAGCTTTCAAAATATTATTTCTATAAGAGAAATCTGTTTTCCAGTGTAGTAATAGTAACATCACAGTATTTAATAAGATATCATCATTTCTACCTCCTTCCCTTGAATTTCACTTATTAAAATTTGTTCTCTGAATGCGGGACAATTACGTGAATATTGAGAAGGGACAATTACGTGAATATTTTTTATTTTTTTATTTTAGTAACTCGGTGCTAAAAAGCTAAGGGAGAAGTAAGGAAATCCAATATATGTCTGAAAGCTTTTGTATTTTTAATGCCAGTCTGGTGTTAAAAGCAATGCCAATCATACATAAAACTAATTACAATTTTAAAATAAAAAATGTTACAGAAGGAATAAAATTATTGGGAGACAACTTGTGGGTTTAAAGAAATAGAAAATAAAAATATTTATAATTCTCATTTTGCATTTCAGATAAATTAGATACTGCTATCTTCTGTTTAGATGAAACATAAACAATTAAATTAAAACAAGCTGAAGTGGTGCCAAAGAGTGTGCTAATGTGCAAATAAAGGAATTCATTGTAAAGAATTTGAGAATATCTTTAAGATTAATGAAATTATAAAAGAAAAGTTACATATGTTTACTATAAGTTTGCTTGAAGTATGCAGATTAGATGAAATGTGGATAGAGCATTTTTCCTTGACTAGTGTATGTGGGAAGATTTAAAATAAAGAAAACAGTTCAGTCTGTATTGATAAAAGATTTTGAAAGATAAATTTTTTTAATCAATATTAGCTCATCTTCAAAAGTGATATTTGAAATTTGTACTGTTTTTAAGGTTGCTTTTTTAACTGCTGTGGAATTTGTTAACAGTAAATTTACATAGAATGTAGAATATGACAAGTCTTATTTGGGGAAGACTGGGAAAAAGCATCTGAATATTTTAAAGATTTTTTTGATGCATAAATGTATGTAAATCTTAAATTATGAAAATATTTTATGATACTTAAAAGTTGTTGATTTTTCTTTCCTTTTTGTAATAGACACAATAGTAACAACAACCAAAATACTTTTTTGGGTTTACCTAACTTTTTGGGGGATGGGAAGATTTATTTCAGATAGCTCGTATCACTTGATGCATAACAAAGGAACCATAATGAAAGAGAAAAATATGTTTAAAAATTTTGCTTTGTTATGTGGGAAGGACAGCTAGAAAAGAGAAGTGTATATTCACAGCTTAGATGGTGAAATTCTAGTCAGTATAAATATTCAGATAAACTAAAATGATTTGATGAATTTGTAAATCTAATATGTAGTTTGGAGTTTTGATTAAATATATATAAAAGTTTAAAAGTGGATGCAAAATATAGTATGCTGAAAGTTTGTTTGAAATAAAACTTTTGAATTATGTGATTTTAATATAAGTAGTGTACAAATTGTTGAAATCAAATTTAAGACCTTTCTTGAGGGGTAGGGGATTGTGTGTGTGTAGTAGTAGTTTGCTTTTCTCTGTTAAATTGTGCAATAGAAATTTTTAGCTTATTGGGGAGATGGGAAAATTGTTTTCATTGTTTGAAGGTTAATGTGTTGAAAGTATCTAAAATGTATAAAATTTTTAATTTTATTTTAACTGCATCAGAATAGTTTTAGAAAGACGCAACAATTATTTGATGTTATGTTTTTGGTAAATACATAAATAATCTATTTGCTGAATTCATCGATTGTTAGAAATTATAATAATCAACAAATTGCATATATATTTTTTTAATTGGATCTTAACTTTTTAAGGTTTTACATCGCATGTTACAAATGACAGTGGTGCTGCAGTTAGTAGTTCTGGTCATATAACGTGTGGCAGCCAAGGTAATTATTACATTATATTACATATTTTTCCCTTTAAGAGTAATCTTATATATTCTATTTTTCTGTTATTTCACGTAAATTTTCCCTTGAGATCATGTGTAATATTTATATATTTTTTCAATTTGAGTTTATGTAGTGTAAGTGTTAAGGAGCATTTTTGATGTGGAAAAAAATTAGAATGGAAATTATGATTATACACTTTATGGGGAGGAATCCCTTCTAGCCCTTCTGCAGTAAAAGAGGGTTTTAGTTTTCTCTTTTTATAAAAATGTATTGTTACACTTATTTGAACCACTAAATTTTATATATGAGATTCTCATATATAATGTCTACCTTTGGCTTCGGTGAATTAAGGAATACTAGTTTAACAATTCATTTCTAATTCTGTTAAAAAAATACCGAATTTCTTCACTTTTGATTTTTTTCACTGGAACCATTTTTCCGAAAAAACTAGAAAATCTACGTTTTTTTAGTGCCTTTTGAATCTGGGAAAGAGCCTAACAATTATATATGCTGAATATGAGGAACACTGTGAATTGCAAAAGTCATAAGGATTCATGTTTTGACCTCTCCCCTTACAAAAAAGAAAATTTTTATGAGATTTGATGTATAGTTTAAAGTCATTTCCCTTATGAGGTCTATTAATCATTAGTCTCCCATATATGAAGTTTCGTGATCTAATAGAATCTTGATTTTAAGGAATCTTGAAAAAAGTTGACAAGATTGATTCCTTGAAAGTTTATCCCTGAGAAGTATATTCATAGCAGAATATAGGAGAATCCAAATATGACTCGGATTGTTGCCATTCCAAACTAATACCCATGCAATGGTGCTGTGTGTCCTTGGATGACAGCCGCTACCTCCGCATTATCTTCCCATATGGATTAAAACTTGCTAGGTCATGTCTTGTGATGGCAAAAGTGATTAGCAGACAATAGCTGCCTTAAAGTATGAATGACACATTGTGATCAAATTCCTAATTCAAGAAAATGTCTTGTCACCTGAAATTTGAAACTTTAAAAGCACAATATGAGGAAGAGAATCGTCCTGGAACCCATGTGTTTGACTGATGTAAATGCTTTATTGAAAGATGAGAATGCATGGGGAACATCCATCACCTAGAGAAACACTGATCACGTGAATGCAGTTATTCATGAGTATAAGAATTGTAAAAGAACTTGCATCATTGTTTTCAGATTGATAGTATACAGACCATTGTGAAAAAATATTTGGAATATGGCAGGGTGTATTCCCAGTGAATTCTTTGCACATTGACAAATGAGAACAAAATACAAACCACCAGTTTGAAGATTAAGGATATGTATTTTAAAAGTCTATAGCGACTTTCAATGAAATGTGGGTCCACTACTTCAGTTCTGAGTCTGAGGCAATCCCATTTAAGCCCTGGCTACACAAGGAGATACTTCTCCAAACAAGCCTCCCTTGCAAATATGTCTCCTGATGGCATTTTGTCTACACAGAGATTTTTGTATTCAAGTACCTTTCAGCTCAAGATTTCAAGAATCTCATCAAAATTTTCTTTTTTGTAAGGGGAGAGGTCAAAAGCTAATCAGATTAGACAAAGCAGATTATATGATTTTGTAGGAGCAGTAGGAGACCTCCATTGATCTTGCAGTAAACATAATAAATTGCAGTTTTCAAATGACTTTATTTTCAGTTCTTATTTTTTAAATAAGTTGGAATAATAATAATAATAATAAATGGAAAGTTTGGTGGCAGATAAAAAGTAACCGCGATTAAAAATGCCAATCAAAATGCAAAATGTGGAAGATAATAAAAAATTGTACATTTAAGAAAAAAGAGAAAGGAAAGCAAATAATTATCAAATGTTTTATATATATATATAATCATTATAGTAAAGGAAAATAAATCGATTATATCATATATAGCATAAAATACATCATACACTGCTGAGAACTTAATTCATAATAAAGCATCTCTTAAGTACATGAAAAAGGAAAAATAAATTTCATCACTTAATAAGTAATGTAAATATCTGTATGTCATATGAAAATTTTTTTAATAATTATTATATTAAAAGAACTCTATAGCTCAGCTGTATTAGATCTCACAATTTGCTGTTTCACTGAAAATTTAAACACTTCATTAAATGTGAAGTGATCAAGCTAGTTAAACCTAGTCCAAAAATTGAAATATCATTAAAAATATAAAATCAAAAATATAATCTTATACTCGTATAAATAATATAATTGCATGAATTCAGCTCTTCTTGTTTGTCAGATTTCTCGGAATGTAAGAACATAGAACAACCCCCTTAAATAGGAAAATATATTCTAGTAAATTTAGCTAATGTTAAAAAATGATGTAAAAATATATATATATCAATCTATAGCTTGCAATAGTAAGTTGCTTGTATAAGGTGAAAAAATATTGTATTTATTAAAAAAAATATTGAAAATTATCATCTGAAAGAAATGTCATAAATTTGTTAATCACATCATAAATTTGTTAAAATAATAACAAAAACTCCAAACGATTTGCACTTTATGTTATTTTTATCACAGGAAAAAGCAGTGCTGTGAATACTGGCATTACTGACATGGGATTTCTGTATGCAATTTCATTGGCTGTCACCAAGTATGTCTCTGACGACTGTGTCTGTTATGCACAATGATCACGATTCCACTGCAGGCGTTGGAGACATGTATTTGACGTGCCAGAGATGCAGTGGATGGACAAAAATATGGAAACACCTTGTGAAATGCATGTTCGAAAAGAAAGATTGATTTTAATGAAATATGTAGGTGGCGCTGGCATTTTTGACTACTGACGCCACCTATACAACTTCGTAAATGTGCTAAACAGTTCAGTTGTTGTCGGAGTACTGTTATGTGAGGTTGTCATTGCATTATGTCAGAGTTAACAGACTTCGAATGTGGCCAAATTGTTGGAGCACATATGGTAGGTGCTTCCGTAAGCAAGGTAGCCAAGGTGTTTAGTGTTTCAAGAGGTACCGTATCGAAGATTTATTCCGCATATTTGAAAAGCGGGAAAACATCATCTGCTAAATCACAGGGCGGACAAAAGTGTATCCTGAGTGATCGTGACAGACGATCATTAAGGGCAATTGTGACGAAAAATAAGAAGACAAAGCTGCAAAAGTTACTGCTGAAATAAATGTTGTGTTACCGAACCCCGTGAGTACTAAAACAATTAGAAGGGAGCTTCATAAATAGGGAATTGCTGGCCGTGCTGCAATCGAGAAGCCACTCATCAGTGATGCTAATGCCCGTAACAGGAAAAGGTGGTGTTTAAGTCATAAAGCCTGGACTATAGAGCAGTGGAAGCGAGTAATATGGTCTGACGAGTCTTCTTTCACATTGTTTCCCCCCACTTCTGGCCGAGTTTACGTCTGGAGAACGCCATCTCAAGCCTGTAATACAGACTGCTTGTTGCCAAGAGTGAAGCATGGCGGGGGTTCTGTTATGGTTTGGGCAGCCATATCGTGGTTCTCTGCTAGCCCCATGATAACTGTGTCAGGGCACATGACTGCCAAGACTTATGTGAACAGTTCATACCATGGTACAAACTTTGTTCCCCGATGGTGATGGTGTCTTCCAAGACGACAAAGCCCATGTTCATACAGCTCACATTGTCCAGGACTGGTTTTCTGAGCACGAGGATGAGTTGTCCCATCTCCCCTGGCAACCACAGTCACCAGACCTGAATATTATCGAACCTTTGTGGTCTACATTGGAACGAAAAGTGCGTTCTCGTTATCCAACGCCAACATCGTTATCTGAACTTGCCACCGTTTTGCAGGAAGAATGGTATAATATTCCCTTGGCAAACAAACAGGAACTTTATTTATCCATTCCGAGAAGACTGCAAGCTGTTTTGGATGCCAACGGGTTTCCTACACCATATTAAGCAAAGAAACTTTTTGTGTAGATGGGGCTTGAGAAGGCATGCAGTTTGTGGATAACAATGCATCACTGAGAGTGTTCAGAAGTTGGTTCACTGCCAACTGGAAAACTTTATGAAAAGGGTCTGAAAAGGCTTTCAGAGTGATGCAAAAATAGATTAACTGTAACGTTGGGCAGTGAATGTTCAACTCTTGTTCGCAGTTAAGTTTTTTTTTTTTTTTTTTTTTAAAGTTTAAGTCATATTTGAACCACCTTTTATCATTTTTTGTTTTGATGAAGGGTTTAATTGAGAAGACTCCCTTTCTTTCATGATAGTAATGTTAATCCAAAAGTCTAATTGTGATTTCATTCATAAAACTGGGATTAGTATTGACATACATTTGTAACCCACAAATGATATCCAAAATTTCTTCTGTGTATGAATCCCTGAATGTATTTTTCTGTGACATTACATATGCTGAGATCTACTTTTAAAATTTGTTGCGTAAAATTTGTTGTGTAAAACCTGATGATATTCTCTTTTCACATGCTAGTCACTAGTTATTATTTGTCGGAACTTATAATCTAGCAGCAATTTAGGTTAAAATAACACACTGAATAATGATTATTGTAGAAGTCAAACAAGAATCAGTGTAATATTTGCAAATTTTGCAAGTCTAGTTTCGATGGTTTAACTATAGAAACATCTTCAATTCTGTGTGATATTTGCAGGTGTGTGCAATTTAAGTGCAAATGCACAAGATTATTAAAAAAAATCTCCCATTGGTGAATAAGATTTTCTAGAGGCGTTTCACATTAAAAAGAAATATTTCTGTTCTAATCTAAATATTTGGTTGATCTTTGGATTATGGTAACTTGGCGAAAATTTGGCGACCAACTCTGCTACAGCAACTCTCTATTTTTTTTTTTTTCCGCCGCCATTTTGTCTTCACGAAGTAAAGACATGTTTCTTTTCTTTTTATTTACTGAACACTTTTTCCAACAATCTACTAGCCAAATTACACTTATACTAGAAATTTTATCTAACAAAACTGCTTAATCATGACAAATATTCGCTGCAAAATTGGGGGAAAAAGTGCACAATCGCAAACTCCTTGCGCGTTTTTCACAATAACACATACACATAAACCATGTACACGCCGACTTATTTTTACTTAAAAAAACATCCCAGAATTGCATAAAAATGGCATTGCGCACACTCTTCACTATATCCACTTACACTGCTTTTTTCTCATAAATTAGAAAAATTTCACGAAAATGCATGAAAATACTCAACGTATACTACTCAAACATATTCCAAAATACTACAAACATATAACTCGCAAAATCACGATCATTAAATTAAAATATAATTAAATTAAAAAAAAACACTACTTAAAATATAAATAAGCACATACATTAAATTAATAAAAATTAGATTACAATCCTAATTACTTTAAACTAAATCATTGCTAATAACAATTTTCAAATAATACCATTTTAATTTATTTACTCCTTACATTTAGAACAATACATAAAAATAAAATCCTCAAATGATTAAAAATACTAACTTACCTAATCTTCTTCAGAATCTTCATTACGTCGCTGCAGTACTACTGCTAATTTCTAAATCCTAAATGCAGTAGTCAATTGGAAGTCTATTCACCAAGTAATAAGAAATTAATAAAATTTCACCTATACTCAAACTACTTTCAGCAAACCACGTACCCTTCCTTACACTCCTTTTCACAAAATGTCCATTTTCACCATATTTCTTGCACAGCCATTTAAACTGTAATATCCTTCCTTTCACACAATCTCAACTTATTATTATTATCAGATAAACGCATTAAAAATTTAGAATTCACTTTACATAGCGCCATGCAATCCGAAAATTAATCAACACTATTTCACACACAACACACAATGAAGCTTTTCCAAATTAACCCCCTTTTCTGATTAAAGAACTGTAATTCGTCCATTAATGTCATGTTTCACACAACACAGAATATAGCTAAATACGAAATTTCCAGATTTCCCCCCCCTTTTCCGATTAAACAACTGTAATTCGTCCATTAATGTCACATGACATATCTCATGATCTCTCATTTCCCTCACACAAAATAATGCGTAATCGGAACTGAGTGCTTCTCACATTATTACCAAAGTCCTAAGTAGTAACCTTTATCGCCTCCAAAATGTCGCCAAACTACCAGTTACCATATTCCAAAGATCAGCCAAATATTTTTGTTCTGTTCCTAATTTTTTCTGTTTTTGACGACCCTAATTCCAATCCACCTTTACCTTCAAACTTTAAGAGAATTATATTTTAGTTGTTTTGTTCCATCAATAGATAGTACCAGTAGCTTAACTTCTGTCCAGCTATTCTTATCTTATCACCATCTTGCTCTTAGGCAGCTAAGAAGATAGTTCTGTAGTTAAACCATAAAAACTGGTCCTGAAAAATTTACAAATATTATGTTGATTTTTGTTGTTTGACTTCTCCAATAATCTAGCAGCAAGTGAAAATTGTAAAACATTTTAGAAAGTGCATGTTACATGCTCTAAAAAACTTCTGATTTCAGCTGATTGTTGGCTTCGTAATATATTAGTCTACACCAAAATCTTTATATATATTCTTATGTGGTGCTGTCTGTGCACCAGCACTTTTTTAAGAGGGAACAGCAAATTCAGATTTTTTTTTTGGGGGGCGGGCTCAGTGTATTCTGTTAATCTCATGTGGAAACTTTAATACTACAAGCACAGAATATATACATTCTTCACACCTGTCTATGAATAGTCTTTGATGTCCCCTTTCCTTACAAAATAGTCTGCATGGTCAGATCAGATCTAAGCCTGCGTGCAACATTAACCTCATTCCATCCTGTGGGTTTCTAATAGAAAAAGGGGGGGAAGAAAGAAAGAAATTATACCTTGTATGTTGATGGATTAATTAGGGAGGAGAAAGAGAGATGGAATATCTGATATGTTTGTCTGTCTTTTAATTAGATGTATGTTGATGAGTAATTTGCAAAAACAAAAATTTCTGATATTTTGCAACTATGAGATATCCTAAGAAAAGATAGAGTTCAACATAAAAGGTGTGTTGTAATAAAAACCACTGACAACAATTATAGCTACTAAGCTTATTTGCAACATACTATGCAGTTCACTTAACAACTGCTGTGTAACTAGATGCTCAACTAGACACTATAAAATCCGTGCAATATACATCTCTAAAATACATCTGAATTTGTACTTGCGTATCTCAATATATCCTCCAGTCAGTATGGGTTAATATCAAGGACCTGGAGGTGAGCTATACATGCTTTACACATAACTTTAAGCATGAAATCATACTATTAATATAGAAAATACTGAGTGTGCGATTTAATCTGCAACAATAAATAGTTTTTAAGGGGGTATTGGGAATGTTCTATGATCAAAACTAACTTGATTTGTTAAAATATATATAATAATTATTTCTTTTTCTAATTTTCAAATTCATTCCCCCCTCCCCCCGTAACTTAAAAGAATGGAGTATTACATGAAGCAGAAATTTATATATTCATTGAATACTAATTCTCTGTAAGTTATACTTTGTTATCCTAAATAAGGAAGTTAATTTTAAAGTAATAATTGAAGCAAGTTTTGTAGTGCTTTATTAATCTATAGCTGTCTGCATAATCTAATTCATTATTTTTTAAATTTTAGGAATGGTAGGCATGTCCCGATTATCGTGCAATCCATTTGCTATTAAAACATCTACGCCAACTCGAAGTGTGGCAGATAGTACAGATAATAAAGGTATTTATTTAAAAGATTTTTTTTTTCTGAAAAATCTTTGATTTAAAAAAGTACTTGAATTAGGTAGCCTCTCTGACAATGTGAACACAGACATTTGCGCATCTCTAGTCCAAATTTCCGTAACATAATTTTAATGCATAGAAAAATTGATTTAAATTAATTTTTGACCATTTGATGTCCCATTAAACATAGATTTGGGTTGCCATTTGTGTAATTCATCCCTTCTTTCAATTCTGCTGTTCTCTTTCACTAAGAATTGGTTATAATTTGTAATCACTTTGCTTAGATGAATGATATAAAATTATGTTTTTTAATATAGCATCATTTAGAGATAATGCTGTAAACATTCTTTACTGGCATCCAGGTATCCTTATATGAGAGGATCTGTTTTACAAGTTATGTATTCCAAACACGAAAGCTGAATGATCCACATTACTTCACTACTGTTTCTCTCTAAGTCTTTTTACGTGTGAAGCTTTTTTTTTTTTTTTACAAAAAAAAAAAAAAAAAAAAAAAAAAAAAAAAATTCAAATAACCCAGGCCCTTCCCCAAGAGAAAAAATTATGACTTATTTAGCTGTAGGATATAAATCGAGCATCACTACTTTATATTTCACATGGTTAACAGTGACTAGAAAAACAAAACTTTACGTTTCTATGTAAAATGGGCTAAATATTATAGTTTGGGTTGGACTGCCTAGTGAAATCTGTATGCTCTTTAAGTTACTAATATGTAAATTAGTTTTAGTCATGTTGAAAATTAAATTTTTGGGCTGATAGTTTTTTTTTTTTTCTTTCTATTTTTAGAATCTAGGCCTCTTGTAGCTCCGCCAACTTTAAAACTGGGTAATTCTGGTAAGTCTTGTTTCTGAATTTCTATTATATTAGTACGTTATTAAGTCTTACAATTTTATTAAATTTATTATTATTCTGTAGATAGTGGTATATCAACGTCAGCTCCTAAAATTGTATTAAGGCCATCTGCTCTGTCAGTGCAGGCAGAAAAACTGAAACTTATGAACAAACATGATGGTTAGTATTTATTTTCAAATCTTTTGTATGAATCACTGATTTTTCTCACATTTATATCTCCTAAGATGTATGAGTAATGTATGTACAAGTGGCAGAACAAAGGCAAATATTTTAGGCTACGTTAATCTGACACTCATCATACTTATTGAATATTTCATTTTATGAAATATATAATGTTGATAAACATTAGCCTTTCTTCAGCATTTTATAATAAAAGCTTTGAGAAAGTTTCTATCAAAAGTTTGTCGCAGATGTCAGATTGAATGGAAGTAAAATTTAAATGTCCTTTGAGTAGCAGCTAAATTAGCACCACATATTTATTTATAAATGTGTAATTAGTTCATACAATTTCTTTGAAATTTCACAAATAAACAACATTATTATGGTACTGGTGTATTAAGTCAAGCATCTTGGCACAGTTTGGTAAATTTTACAAATGAAAAAGAACAGTTATTTTTAATTATAAAAAAAAATTATATTATTACATGCATACATATTTTGTGTTTGAACCGTGTATTAATTCCAAAAATCAATCAGTACTCTTAGTTATAAACAAGTTTTTGTTTTTGTTGTGGTGGAAATTTGATAGCAGTCACTTTGAGAAGGGATTCAAAACAAATTTATGTAGCAATTTTTTAGCAGAATGCCATATACCTGCAGAAGTGTCATTTCTGTTTCTTCTATCATCTGAAAATCCCACAAACATAAATTTTGAAATCCAGTTTTAAGACAAAAAATAATTGAATTTTTCTACAAAAGCCATTAGAACTTGGTGTGTGTGTGTAATTATGGCAAAGCCTCGAGGGCTATCTGCCTAAGGGGATGGATGCCTTCATGGAGGACTTTCTAAGTGAAACTGTCTCGTATACACGTTACACAAGGCCATGAAAACTGCCATGCAGCCAGCCCGTTCGCGGGATTCGAGCCTTGGACCGAACTACCAGTGTTCAGCGACTTTACCGCTCGGCCGCTTGTGGGCCCATTAGAACTTGGAATACAACAAAATGAACACAAGTGATGACTTTGAAAATCGAATATTTGTCATGCGCATGGTTGCCTGAATAATTATTATGTGCCTGGTTACCAGACTTTGGTGTATTCTAAAACTCTGGTGATTTCTTCTAAGGTGGATGCAATAATATGTAAGTACCATTATTTCTCACTGTTTGTGTACTGTAAAGGTGCACCTAAACAACTACGCTTGCGGCATAAAGGACACAATAAAACGCACGTCGCCGGCGAAAAGTGGTCCAAATGGGGTTATGGGCAAAGTCTGTTTAGCCAATAGAATTATTGAAAAGAAAAAAGTCCTGTGATATTTATAGTAGCTGGCTTGCATCCTTGATCACATAGTCGAATCAGATTTTTGAAATGTTCATTTTCCTTGACTAAAAAGAGAATTCTACATCCATAAAAGTTTTTACTTCATCAGTTTTTGCTCTCCCTCACTGCTTGCATATGCATCCAGAAATTGTTGAATTGAAGTAATCTGTTGACAACTATCACAATATTATTGATTTAAAAGAAACATTTTAATAGAACCCATTGTAATATTAACATTACAATATTTCAAATTTTCATTTCTACTTAATTTCTTGAACCTTGCCCATTGTTACTGTTGTCCGCTGCTAATCCCTAGGTCTTAAATTATAAGTGTCTTAACATTTCATGCCAAAGAGCCACACCAATAAAATCGTAAAGATCCACGGACCGCACGTCTGTCAAATAAGTAACCTAGGCAGAAAATTTATAAAAGAAAAAGAGTTTTACAAGACTACGATCAAATAAAAGTGGAGAGATGGGGTTACCACTTATTATGATATCCAGTATTTTGTGTTTTTTGTTAAAAAAAATACAGTATAAGTTGAATGAATAAATTTCATACTTTTTTTTTAATTATGAGAGAAAATGAAAGTGATATGATATACAGTACCTGACAATGTTATGGAATCCATTGAGACTAAAACTTATTATTCCAGTTACTGGTGGGTTGGAAGTCACTTCAGTCCTAATAAGAAACTTTTCATTGCTTTTGTTTTATTAAAGCTTTGATATCCGGTCAAATGTACGTTGTTGCGATTTCTAAAGTGTTCTTCATTTGTGTAAACAACTATTCATATATTTGGTCTACCAGAAAGTTCTGTCTGTTTTTGAAATAAAACAAAATACCAATTTTTCTTACTGTCAATAAACTTTATTAAATAATATAATTGCCATTGACCATCTGGTGGTGAAATGGCTAGCGCACTGCGCAGCTACACCACAGGTCCGAGGTTCGGCCTTCGGGGTGGGCAAGGTTGACTCAGCTTTTCACTCCTTAAATGGGTCGATAAAATGAGCGCCAAGTATGCTTGGGGACTAAACACCGGGGGTCCTGCGACAAGCTGACCACTTGCCCAGGGCAAATGCTGATGCACTCCAGGGCCCCAAGGTTAAGAAAGCAGATTTCAGAGCACTGCAGGCCGTGGCTCAATATGGCTGTTGCGCCATTTGAGTTTAGTTTTTTATAATTGCCATTATTATTATTGCCAGCATCAGGGCAATTTGTATATCATATTTTTGAAAAGTGTTGCATCTTTTGATGCAAAATTTAACCTGTGCGGTTTTGATATCTTTTTCATTTTTGAATTTTTTGCCCTTCAAAACATTTTGTAAGCACAAAAACAAGTGATAGTCGGAGGGTGCTAAGTCCAAGTAATATGGTGAATGTGACAGAATTTCTTAGTTTAGTTCTGCAGTTTTTTTACGTGTCCCCAAAGCAACATATTATGGCCTGGCATTATCATGATGCAGTATGCTGGCCTTCCTATTGAACATTGCCGGCCTCTTTTCTTGGACTGCTGTCTTTAAATTATCCGGTTGCCGACAATACTTCTTCGAATTGAGCTTTTCGTTAGGTTTTAAAAGCTCATAATGTATTGGTCCTCAAATGTCCATTCAACATTCCTATCCATTCAACATTATTGTCCACACAACATTCTCTTATTCAGAGTCAAATGTTGTTTAGAGGCGGAAGGGCTAAGTTTTCCTGGTTCACAATATGCCCTTATGATGTTTTCATAGGTAATCCACTTTTCATCCCCAGTTATCATCTGGTTCAAGAAGGACTCAATTTTGTTCTGAGCAAGCAGAGATGTGCTTATGTCAATTCAATCATCCAAATTCTTCTGACTTAATTCTTGTGGCATCCATCTTGAATATTTCCACACCAATCCTATCTTCCGAATATAAACCAAAATGGTTTGCTGGGCTGAATTAAGCCTTTCTGCGATCTCCAATGCTGTCAGAAAAGGATCTTGCTCCAACATAGTCTTAACAACATCGTTGTTGATCAAAGATGGTCGCTAGAATGTGGCTTATTGGAAGGGTTGAAATCACCTGTTTAACATTTTTCGAACCATCTTCTGTATGTCCTATCAAAAATTGTACCTTCACCAAACACTTTCAATAAATTTTTGCATGCTTCTGTAGGATTTCTTCCTTGTTTCGTTGTTGAAATTCATATAAAACGTGTCGTAAATGAAATTTATCAGTAGCCATGGATACACTATCGCTTCGCTCTTAAGACTAATGTGAATCAACTTTGTTTTAGTTCATTTACGACGTCAGTGTGTATACATTAAGTGATAAAAATAGAGAGCCGAACATGCACCAAATAAACATGTGCTTACGTGTCGAAAATTGTTTTCATAGAAATGGACAGAACTTTCCGGTAGACCAAATATATAGTTGCTGCCAAAAAGATAAAAGACATGAACAATGAATGTTTGCATATTCCTGGATACTTGCCTTTGTCAAAACAAAATTGTGAAATCTTGTGACTTTATAGTCAAGGTTTATTATATGGGTAGTTTTTGCACATGTTTGCTTTCTGTCATATTATTATTATTATTATTATTATTTTGGGTCATGAAACAATTGCATCAACACCAACCTGCAGTTGCTTTAAATTCTTTGCCTTGTTCTGAATTGGCTTGTGCTCAGCCCTAATCATATTTCTTGTAACAACTTAACAATTCTGCCTCTTCTTGTACCGATTCTGCTATGTTATTTTCTAAATCTGACCAAGTCTGCCTTTCCTAATAGAAAATTTTTTAATAGCATCTTTATTCTTTCTGCAATATCCTATCATCTTCTCTGTTACATCAATAACTCTTGCTGCAGGATGTTGGTTTGATTCTTTAGCCTATTTTGTGACTTTTAATTTGAAGCTTGCTTCATATTTCCTCCTTTTTTTTTTTTTTTGGGTTGGTTTCTTGATTAGGCTTAAAGCTACAAATTTTATGCTGATTACAGTTATGGTACAAATTGTTTGAACACACGATGCAACCTGCAATGAAACTCATTAAAAGTGCATGTGAGTTCATGATTTGGGGCACATGCTTCTATAGGTAGTGCTGTCAGGTGTAAGTAAATAAATGTTTTAGAGGTAAATGTGAGTTCGTGATTCGGCATATGCTTCTGTTGTCAGTGCTGCCAGATGAAAGAAAATAAAATTTGTTCAGATGATGATCACTGATCTAAATTAAATTCATAAGCCATATTTATAGTTTGGAGGTTGTCTTATAGGACAGATAATATGCTAAACCTATAAAACGTTTATGAAAATTTATACTTTATATTTATTATATTATCTAAAGGTCTTCTTATCTGCAGAAATATACAGTATATAAATATTAACTTGAATTCAAATCACAATGAAAAATCCTCCAGGTTTTTCCTTTTTAATTGTAAGAGATCCAGATTTGAATTCTATCAGAATAAAGGGTACTTTTCCATTTTGCCGGCGCAGGCGATAAAATCGTCAAAAATGGTACAACCGATGCCAAATGGAATATCCTCGCTGGTAACCTTTTACGCCTCATTTTCAAAACAAGTAGCAGCCATTTCTTATCGGATTGATTGCTTCTTTCAATACTAGCAGCCATTTCTTATCGGATTGATTGTTTCTTTCAATACTAGCATACAATTACATAGAATTTTTACCAGATAGATCAATTTTATGCCCTAATTTTTATCAGATAGTTCAATTTTATGCCCTAAGGCCATTCACGGTAATCAAGTCAATTAGGATGCAATCACACCGCTCACCCGAAGGCGAAAATATAGGAAAAGTGAAGTCAAGGGTTAAATTCATCAGTTCTAATGAGAATGCTCTAGCGAAATTAAGCACTACAGTTTTACATATTTTCTGAGTAAGCTATTCGTACGAATTGAAAGATTTCTTCCATTTAAACTTATATTCCAAAAGATTTAATTTAGGATTTAACTTGAAATTAATGTAGATAATTACTGAGAGAATTGGATTTTTGTAGCGTAGTTTACGTGAGATGAGGTCACGTGATATGAACCGGTGAATCAGGATGTTGAATCATGAGATAATAGTAAATTCTTAAATTAATCTCTTTTTACAAATCTGTTGCTTTTATTTGTTGTCTTTTTATAAAATTTTAAATGATATTAAAATGTTTATGCCTTCAAAATATAAAATTCTTAGATCTACCATTTGTTAAAATTTTTTTTTGTGTGTACTGTGTGTTGTCGGCAGTAAAGTCTGTTTGGCAAGATTTGCGCCGGCCAAACGAAAAAGTACCGAATAAAGATGTTTACTTTTCCATTTTTCATTGTGTTTCTAACTTGAATATTTAATTTTATTAATAATTTTGTATTTTTGAGGCAATTTTCATTTTGGAATGTTTTTTATTTGTTGCTACCCCTCTTTTAATTTTTGGACTTCTTACTCTTTTATAGTTTCTTTTTGACTTTTGCTCCCTTTTGTTTTTTTCTCTCTTTTTTAATGTATGTTTTTAATATCTTCTTAAATGTTTTTCTTCCAGCACGTATTGTTATGGCCTTGTATCCAAAAACTTGTCCAGGTGCTATTCTAGTTCATTCATTCATTTTGTTGCATTCAGATTTTGTTTTAGGTCCATATTTTAATAGGCCAGTGTTTGGTAGCTTAAATTTTGACTCATCATTTTACATTAATAGAATTAACATAATGGGGCTGAGAGCTGTATGAACTTTTTACTTCAGGTAAAAAGTGCTGTCAGTTGGAAGCACTTTTTAGAAAGATTTCGAAAGAATATCAGATTTTCTCCCATTCACAGGAGTCTTAACATTGTAACTGATATATTCTTTTTATTAATTATTAAATTAATTAATAGCTTTTATAAAGATCAGTGTAATGTAGTTAAAGCTAACCTACTGTGGACTTTAGTAATTTATGTTTAAATCATACTAATCTGTAATTATTCTGAAAGAATCTGAGGGCACAAGTAGGTGGAAAAGCCCAGAAAAATGATGAAAAATTTATATTCCAGTCTGATTACTAAGCTTTATTATCTATATGAATCTTTCAGACTTTTGTGATTCAACTCATTGTATTATGGAGCATCCTTTTTCTAAGTTAACACTGTAGATTAAACTTTCCATTTTTATGCCTTAAACCAAGGTTTTTTAAACCTTTTTCATTCACGACCCCTTTTTATCACAGGATCCAGGAAAACCTGTTGACAATTTTAACTGTATTTGTAAGAATGTGTTATATATGTATGTTCAGATTTTGATAAGCCAAAAAGGAAAGGAACAGAAAAATTCAGGTAATCAAAGACTAACTGATCAAAGAAATTACATTAATTTTAAACTCTACATTTCGGCACTCAGTTCAACTTTTCAAGGTTCAAAAAATGAAAGTTCTGTTATAAATACAAATCATTTTCAAGAAATTTCTTTGGCAAAAGTATTTGAAAAAATTTTTTAATGTGTTTATAAATATAAAAGTTGCATACTGCTTGGCTGCTGTTTGTTAAAAAACCATAACATGAAAAACAAGCAATTATCCATTATTAATTTAAATATATAGTGATAAAAACTTCTTAATTGGTCTTCCTTGTCATTCTGTTTTCTATGTTCATAAATATATTAATGTAACTGCTATTTGATGCTAAAATTTCATTTGTATTTTGAATAAATTAGTAAATTCTAACTTCTGAATACTAAATAATTGCAATGTGCTGTGCATCAGTTTCAAAGCAATCTTCAATTTAAAAGAGATTCTGACTATTTCGTGAAGGTGAGAAGTATTTGTAATAGAAAAGGGGTATTCATACTGATGCTACTGCAAGGGAACATTTTCTGAACTGAATCATGAGGATTTAAAATTAGCAAATTATGAGCAGTTTAGGTGAAAATAACATGCCGAGCAAATATTGATTTAGAAATCAGGGTTATATTTGCAAATTAGAAGCAGGTCCGATAAGATATTATTAATAATTAATTTTGCGAATGGTATTTTTTAATAGCATGTACAATCTATGATTAAAAAAAATTTAATGTAAAGTTACTGCCATATGTGTAACGCTGAATGTGTAGTAAAGCAAAAAAGTTATTATGAAAGAAGTAAATGGACTATTCCTGAGAAAGTTTGGATCTGGCTATTTCTATTTCCTGCATTAGCAGCTATCTGGGATGAAATTTCCAATACCTTTTGCATGATTTCAGGTATGTTTATTTTTAACAAGATTAATACAAATCTGTTCTGTTGAGTAAATTATAGCTTATCTTTTTCATTTCACCAACTGGAGTAAAACCTTTTGTGTAAGCAGATTTAAGACTGATTTTTGGATTTTTAATAATTACAGCAAATTAGGAAATATAGCTATTTTTAAATGTATTTGTGCATTACAATCAGATGTGAAATTTTTATTGCATTTTTAGTGATGTATTATTTATTTTATGTTACTTTTCCTGTTTCTGAATGAATTTCATGAGTGCTGAATTTGATAAATCTAGGGTGTTCAAGGTGGCTGTAGTCCTTAAATATTGATCTACTTCTAGATAATAGCATTTCTCAAAATTAACATAGAGAAGAATTTTATGAGACTAATTGCAGTGATGGAAGTAGAAAGTTTTCTCGATATTCAAATCATAACTTTCCTTGTACAGCAAAATGTTTATTATGCTTTTTAAAATTTGATAATCGGTATTTATTACAGTTGCATAAATTTAAGAAAAAATTTCATACTTTTGTTATCAAAATTCACGGAGATTTTAGTAGTTAAATAGTAAATTAGTAAAGTAAATTAGTAATAGTAAATTAGTAAGAGTGGACAGCTGCAGATAATAAGTGCTATATTGTTCAGTATGTTAACTTTAATTGCTAAATTGAGTGACTGTTGTTATGTTTTTTGTTTATAAGTTTGGTGAAATTTTGTTCGAAAATATTAATTAGAGGTTTAAAAATGATATGTTATCAAATTTTTATAATATCCCCACAAATTTCACACATATAGGTATCGAACATTTTGTTAAAACATTTGACTTGTGGGTACCATGTAAGAAATGGATTCTGCTCGCTTTTTAATTGGGAGCATGCGTCTACATTTGATATTTAAGGAAATAATAGTCTTCTTTTTTTGTGTTCTGTGCATCTGTTAAATTAAGATTTGGTATAAAGAAAATTTAGTGTTTTGTTTCATTTTATTTTATGTATTCATTTTGATTAGATGTAAAGAAAATTTAGTTTTTGTTTTTTAAATGTTTAGGCTCAAAACAAGAAGGAAAAGAAAATTCATCTGACGAAAGCAACGTAGCTAGAGATGTCCGTATAAATGCTTGTGAAAGTAATGGGAAAATTTCCAAAGCAGAATTATTTGCTTCTGGAATTTCCACTTCAACAGAAATGTCTGGAGCTGCATCTCCTTCAAAATCATCTTCAGCAGAAAATACATTTAGCTTATCTGGGAAAAATTCTGATGATCAGTGAGTAGTTACTAATCATTAAATGTAAACTCTAATCCCAGTTTTATAATTTGTGATTTATAATTCAAAATTTTGCTTTCTGCTTATGAGATTAAATATTTTAGGTTTTTTGTTCATTGACTAGAGTGAATATTTCTTATTTTCCTCTTTCTGTTTTAAAAATATATTGCAGCTTTCTATTTCACTACTTTTCATAGGTTTATATTGTAACCTACCACAATCCGTATTGTTAAGGTGTAAAAACTAAATGGTTATTAATCTGCAGAAGTAGAAAATCTGAACACCCAAAAACATTAAAAAATTAACAATAAAGCAGAAAGTATAGATAGTCTTTGCATTATTATCTATCATTTCTGCTCTACTGTGAAATTTTTTTGGCTAATCTTTGGAATATAACAGGAAGTTTGGCGACATTTTGGTAAGGCGATAAATGTTACTAGCTAGGACTTTAGCACTGTACATGGATATACTCAAGAGTGTGCACAATGCCATTTTTGTGAAATTCTGGGATGTTCTTTTAAGTGAAAATAGGTCGACGTGTACATGAATGATACCATGTATGTGCAATTCGTAAAAACACGGCAAACAGTGGGCGATTCTGCACTTGTCCCAATTTTGCACCTAATCTTCGTCATGATTAAGCACTTTTGTTCCATAAAAGTTCTAGCATAAGCGTAATTCGGCTAGCAGATTGTTGGAAAAAAATGTCGGAAATGTTAAGGGTTGTGAAAACAAAATGGCGTCCAAACAAAAACTAGCAGGTTGCTGTAGCAGGGTTGGTCGCCAAATTTTCGCCAAAAAATCACCAAGTTACCATAGTCCAAAGATTAACCTTTTTTTTTTTTTTTTTTTTTTTTTTTTTTTTTTTTTTTTTAATGTTTTGTGTAGTTTTGCCAAAAGACACCAGAACCTTAGAAATCATTTTAAGGCATGGAATAGTTTACATGTGGCTAGTATTAGAAACAAGCCATGAAAAAGCTTTTATAGAAAAGACATGTATGAAAAGTAAAGTGTAATTATTCATAATGAGAAAACCGAGAATGGTCCTGTTGTTTCTTCTTATTAGTCATACTGACCTTTTTTGTATCACTAACTAATTTCTGGTAAGTAGTTTTGGTTAGAAAACACTGTAATTTTGGGAGCATTAGTCTGCCCTGTAAACAGTTTATCATTGAATCATTGTTACATGTCAACATGCCATGATTCCTTCTTCAACACTAGTCCCACTCTTTCATTTTCATACAGCACCATATGGGCTAGAATCTTTGCTAAACAAATTTAAATAACTAACTTCGGAACAATGACTGAAATGCAAATGGGGAATTCTGTCTCAGGTGATCATCAGAAGTCTTACTGTGTAATATTAGAAACATCATTAATGGGAGTATTATATACTTTATAATTTTTTTCTTTTGACATTCTATGTAATGTATAAAAGCCTAGACATTCTATATAATGGGTGCTTTCATACATTGTCAGTAACATACATATTAGATTTATTATACAGTATAAAGTCCGTAATCCGGATGTCCATTATCTGGAATGATCTATAATCCGAACCTCAAAAGCCACAAACTATTTCTTTTTTTTTTTTTTTGTATGCTTTACGCATGCGCGTTTAATGAATAACGGATGGTATAAGCTCTTTACTGATTCTAAGGCATTTTACTTAATTGCAGAGTTCCGCTGTTCCTTAATCTTCTAATTGGATTCGGATTATTATTTTTCGCAGACTGTTAGAGCAATTTTATAAAAATTAAACTTGAACTTTCGATTAACTCAAAAAGAGTTTCCAATTCTGGAGCTGCCATACTGCTTCCGATTGTGAAGAAAGTGACAGAGAGGTTATTGAAAATGAAAACATTTCAATTGACAAGTTAGTCGGTATCCTCGACACAGCAATTGCAGGACTTGAACAGTGGAACTTTGTAACTGAACAAGAAATTATGTCTTTTTATACAATTAAAAACACAAAAAATGAAGCAACTTAAACAACTTACATTGAAAGAAATGTTTAGTAAAGTAAACAAGTAAATATTAAGCTTTTTTTTTTTTTAAATTTTGATACCCTTTAGATTATAATTGCTCTTTATTTCATAAATTACAATTTCATATTTTTAATTGTATAATTTCTGCATGCCATCTTACAGATTTAAATTGATGATCTATAATCCGGAAAAACCCCTAATCCGCAATCGCCGAATTCCAGACGAGTCTGGATTACGGACTTTGTACTGTATTTTTTTTTAAAATTCAGTCACATATTTTGTGATTTATATTATAGAAAATAGGTAATATCGATGAAAATAAATCAAATAAATTTATAAGAAAAGAATAAATAAAATGCCTAATTTTAATAAACACAAATAATATTGTAATAATAATAATAATACAATATTATTTGTGTGTACACGTTTCTTTGTAACAGAGTATACTTATTATTATTTGTGTATTAATGCATAAATAATAATGAGTATATTCTGTTCAGGATATATGCTATGAAAAATACAGTATAAAAGTATTCTTGCGACAATTTAGTGCATGTCACAAAGAGTTCATAAGTGCACAAATTGTAATTTCTGTGTTTTTGAAAAATCATTTACATTTATTTTCATTGGTTCTAGACCCGTTCACTTTTTTAAAAAAGTATTTAATAAAGATTTTTCTTAGTTTTGAAATGTTTCAATGAATTAAATTGAATTCATAAAATTAACATTTTATTTCCCTTGTCTGGTGAAATTTTATAAGTTTGAAGACTAGGCTAGAACAGACTAGATTTTGCAATGTAATATATTTGAGAAAGTGAACAGTTCAGAATTTTAAATATTAATTTTTTGAAAATAATGATAATTTCTATTTCATTAGAAAAATGTTAATAAAGTTGTGTTAGATTATTTACCATGTACGCTCTGTCATGCATTTTAAAATTATACAATAATTAGCTTACCTTTTGTAGTATAATATATCAGAAATAAGCATTTCATCAATATTGTATCAAATACATTTTTAGGAAACATAGAATCTAGGTGTTAGCATATATTTTATTCAATGCAGTATTACCAAGAATTCAGTAAAAATTTATTTAATATAGCTTCACCGAGTGGCGAGTAGTTAAGGTTGCTGAATGATAGGATTCAACCTATGCAAAAGGGCTGGCTGCATGGTTGGCATTTATGGTTTTCTCTATGTGTAACGTGAATACGAGTTAGTTCCTATTAGAAGGTTCTCCAAGAAAGCATATCTTCCTTAAGGGATGTAGCCCTTGTTTGCTGAGCTTAATTCAAATAACCTAGCTTAACCTGATTCATAATATAAACTTTTTGTCTATTTAAAAAGTTAAGTCATCTTTTAAAGGAAAATGAATGTAGCCTGTTTGTGTGTTAATGGGTACATTTGATGTGAATTTAACATCTTCAGGTCTCCTGGTAGATCATCAAATCTGCCAGTTTTTAATATTTTAGCTTTTACAAAGGAAAGCTGCCAAGGGAAATGTTTCTCTGCAATAAATAAAATTTATTGAATTATTGAAACTTAAATCATACAAATCGCATTTCCCCACCCTTAGGTAAATTCAGAATAATTTTTCCTATTAAGTTTTTCTTATTAAAGTTTCATTTGAGCCTTAATGTATACATTTGTAAAACTTTATATGAAGAATCAAGCAATGGTTAATCAGTTAATATTTGTATTTTAATTTTGTTTTACTTTTAATATTTGATATATTATAAAGTTTATCCATACTAATGCTGTGTACATTAATTATTAATTTTTTGTCATTTAAAAAATACTTTAATGGATAAAAGCTTTCCTTTCCTACTTGGAATTATTTTTGTAGAAAAGGGTAAGAATATTAAAACTGAAATTAGCCAAAGAACATAAAATTTAGGATATTTAATTATTTGACAATGAGAATCATATTGTTAATAGTTCAATAATCTGATGAAAGGAATTTAATTACGTTTGGAAGAAATGGTGTCACAATGCAGTGGAAAAACCACCAGGTTTTCAGGTTTCAGTGTTGGCAGCCATGCTGTATCTTTCTCTAAAGTTTTATATGGTTATTAGTCTTAATACTTTCATTATTTGCACATTTTCTGAATCTTTATTACTTAAGATCTATTTCAGTTTGTTAAAATTGTACTTTTTTTCACAGGTCGCCAAATGGTAGTTTTATTTTTGGTCAGAATCTACATGAAAGAGCCTTGGTAAGATTTCTGTGATTTTTGTATGATATACTAGTTATTATAGTTGTGAAATATAACATCATGTGAATTATCATATATTTTACCATGTAAGCAATTGTTGAATATAATTGCATTTCAGAAATGAATTTGAATTTCTAAAAATATTTTAATGTAAACTCATGGCAACAATTTAAGGATAATTGTCACAGAGAAATAGGACATTATGCTGAGTGATTCTTCAAGTGAACTATATCGTTCTTCTTTTGGAATGTGCTAGAATTATTCATTTATTTCACCACATTGATGATAGCTCTGGGAGGTATGTAACTTAAAAAAAGTTTAAAAAGCAGTACATGTTTGAGGATAATTGTCACAGAGAAACAGGGTATTATGCTGAGTGATTCTTCATATAAACTGCATCATTCTTTTGGAGTGTGCTAGAATTATTCAGTCATTTCACCACATTGATGATAGTTCTGAGAGATATGTAACTTGCAAAAAGTTTTAAAAAAACTGAGGTTCGGGACGGAGCACATGTTATGCTTCTGAATGCAGTTTAGGAAGTCTTTCTGGAATGTTGGTTTGGTTTAGTTGCTTATGGCAAAGTAAGTAGGGTTATCTACTTAAGAGGAGGGATACCTTCATGGAGGACTTTCTAATGGAAACTGGTTTGCACATTGCCACTCCTCCGATCCCTTGTATCTCCAGTGCTCTAGCGAACAACATTAACTTGGGAAGACCCCCCCCCCCATTTTTACATTTTACATCATGCTTTTATTTTAACTTGGACAACACTAGAGATAAATTTTTCATTTACATCACTTTTTTGTTTAGTACCTTGAAGGTAACTAGCTACATTTTTGTACTTAATGTGATTTATTATTGTATATACATGTTATTCCATCTTTTTCTCATTATTTGGCATTTAAAAGTTTGACATTCCGTGTTGTGAAAGCTGTTTAAGCCTTTTTAGTTGTCCATTTTCTCATATTTATTTGATTTATGTACTTTCTTATTTTGTCAGTTTTGCTTCTTTTATGAAGTTCATGCATACTCCATCTTTTGAAGGAAATGCTTTATTTTTTTGGCTGTCTAGATTGTGCAGGGAATGGCTCTATGCAATTGTTCATAACTTATTTTCACAGTTTAAGAATTGCATAGTATCAGAAATGTTGATATGGCTACCATTCAATTAGAATGGGAAATTGAATTTGTTTTTGTCCACCCGTCCGATGAGATAATAATAAAAATAATTCAATCTGACTGTTCAAATATTTTGGCCATTTGGCCTTAATTTTTTTTCATTTTCAGATAGCTTACAGCATGGTAACTCCCTAGAGGCCTTTCATTTCTTTCATATTATATAGATATATATATATAAGGGATTGAATGAGGAGGGCCTTTATGGATGCATATAGACCCAGGAGCTGTGTCCAGATATTTTTTTTTAATTTAGACAAAGTGCTAAATGTGCCCCCTATATATGGTCAAAGTAACCAGATTTATACATTTTTATACTTATCAAAGGTAATTATTTTAATCACAGCTTCACAATTCAGAAAATTCAAACCATATGGCTTGTAATGGAGCCATCACAAACCGAGGTTCTAAACAACAAGGAATAATCAGCTACCCTGAAACAAAAGTTTCCACCTACCTGAATGTTTGTTCATCCTACTTGCAAAACAGTTTTTGGCCTTCAAACTTGACCCTGAGACTTGAATTCATAGCTTTGCCCTACTTTGATGAAAACATAAACTCTAAGATACTCAAAGATCAAACATCGCTTTAGCCCAATGTTATTAGTGTATCCAAAAATTTTTCAAGGGTATGGACAAGGGATTTTTCAAGGGTATTTTTCAAGGGATGATATTAAAACTGTTTTGTAAGCTGTGAATAGCACACTTGAACAAAGAATATTATCTGAAAAAAGTCTGCCAATATCAGAATAATTTAATCTACAATGGATGTGGTGAGTTACGTGGCGAGTTTAATTGCCTTTGCTTCAGCACCTCTAGAGACAATGAGGACTTTCTATAGCAGGCCTGAGCAAACTAGTGACCCACACGCAATAATCCTATTTCTTTCAATAGTTTGTGTTGTTCAGAGGCCGATATTTAGAGTAAAGAAGCCATCGTAGGACAACACACTTTATTTACATGAATAATGAATAAAAATATCACACAGGAAATCATATTGAGTATCACACAGCAAATAACATATCAGCATCTCCTTACGCTCGAAGCTCGAATGACGGATGTGTCGGTAGAAGAGACAGCTGCGCCATCATACGCATGCGCATAAGAAAAAACGTTCGCTCGCCTCTACCCAACAGTTTGCAATTTCTGTCTTTTGATACCTCAATATGTAATGGGTTCATTAGCGGACAATCAGTAAAGTTGCTGAATACTGTCTATATGAGTCAGTTTTCCTTGAAAGACCCCCATGAAAGCCATCCTTAGGCTGACAGCCCTCGGGTGCTTTGCAATCCTCGGGTGCTCAAAATAAACCAAGCCTCTTTTTGTAAAATAAATTTGAATTTGCCAGTCTGTGAAGCATTTTATAAATTTTAATTCCATTCAAATCCAGGTAGAATTTTTAAATTTTTTATGTGTTTTTACCTTTATCTTTCAATGCATGCCATAAACCAGTGTAGTGCATAGAGGGCTAAATTGAAATCACTCAACTAGCTGTGGCTATTAGTATATGCAGTAATTACAAGTGTGATTTATTTAGTGTTTATGAAATGTAAATTTTCTATGCAATATGGGAACTAAAGTCTTTCCTCTCAATCTGCAATGTAATTTAGCCTGTAAGCCGCTACCAAATTTAGAACAAAAATCTTATAAAAATGTGGGTCTTATTTCAGAGTAAATATGGTAATAATTTCTATTGTTCTGCCTTCTTTAAATATGTCATTGCTGTGTTTGGATGTCAGTTTTGATGTGTTTTGAATCCAGTGTTTTACAATTTCAAACATTGTTTGCAAGATATATTTAGTCATTCAGTCTTCTTTTAAACAATGTATTTGTGCAAGAATTTTCTGGACTTGTCTTAAGAAATAATTTTAAATTTCTGGAATGAAATTATTTTTTAATATTTTCACAGCTGAATATTATAATAAATAATTCATTGCTTTTTCTCCTTTCAGAATTATGATTCACATTGTGAACAGCCTTTATCTCCGACAGACACACATAATTTAACGTTTGAAGAAGCTGCTCTAAAGAAGGAGGAATTAGAAAAAATGGAGAGGCAAAATCAAGAAGGTTTGTGAAAATACTAATTTTTTCTTTTTTCTTTTATGAAGCACACTGATGAATGGAAAATTAATGCTCTTCTGAAACATTTCATGTAAATTTCAGAAATACAAGTTTTGATGATATTAAAACTGTTTTATACAGTTGAATGTTTGTATGTAAGACTTAAAAAGTTGGTTTAGGTAAATAGAGCTTTTATTACATAGTTAGCTATGTAATAAAAGCTCTTATGTTGACAATCTCTGTGAGTTATCCAATTTAAAAGAAGACCACTATTTCTCGAAACTGAATTAAGTAGTTGTGTCAAAAATAACTGATATTTCTTTTCTTTAAAGCTGTAAGCTCTACAGAAGGCCATAATTGTCAGAAATCCTGGATGCAACTAGGCAGGCTTTAGCAGTTAGCTTTTACTGTATTCATAATTAGTTACGATGGTCTCATTAAATTTTTTAATGGATTGAAGAGATTTTTTTAATTAATTGTGAGATGTCGATAATGTTGTGTAAACTGTATTTACTCTTAACAGTTTAACGTATGAAAAAGAGAGGGCTTTTTAGGTTTTTTAGGCTTTTTCTTCTGAACTGAATGAAAATATCTCTATGTAATTTTTAAGAATATATCTTTTTATGCATACCAATATTAATTTAAATAGTAATTAAAAGAGAAAATTTGCATTTACATAGAATATGAATTAAAGTAATTTAGGACTATATCCAGCATTCTGTTTGTTTGATTCATGTTTACTGAAGTAAATGTTTCAAGCTTTTCAGACAGTAAGCAAATTTCATCAGGATCATCCTTTAAAGTAGTGCTATTAAATAACACAACAGGAGACAAATAATAAAAAAAAAAAATTACAGCTGTATGTGCTATAACGGATGCCTTGCCCCATAAAATTACATTTTTCTTTATATTTAAAGTTAAAAGAAGTGTAGCAGTTAGTTGGCTAATTTTTAGTTTGGTAGTCTGTATGGTTTTCTCTTGTGGTACTATTTTTATTTTGCAGGGAAAATGACTGCAGTATATTATAAGTTTTTTTAAAATCACTTTTTAACCTGTTAGTAACACATTTAAATTTTCTAAACTTTTTTTAAGACTAATCTTGATAAAAAAAACTAACGTTTTTCAGGGCGAAATTTAAGATTTTAATGGTTCTTAGCTAAAAATTTGTGTAGGTTTTTTAAGTCGTGTACACGAACTAAGAAAAAGGGGGTTGGATGTTTTTATATCTCCTGTTGTGCTCAGCTGGTTGACGAAATTTATCTTGCATGTCTCAAAATCGCGACTTATGATGCATACTAGTGTTCTAACATTTAACAGCAGTGTTTAAAGAAATTTAATGTTTTCTAAAGCTACGTTTAGCTTGCAGTTTGTTTTGAAGTATGTGATATTTTTCTCAACGTTTTTCACTGTTTTGGGGAGGGGGCAGGAAAAAAAAATTGCTTTTATTAATATAGCTAGTCATATACTATTACGAAGTGATTAACTATACAAATGCGAAATTTGAAAAGGAAAGACAACAATTGACGATTCTTGTACGAATGCTATTTTTGTTTCGATGAGTTTGCATCAGTGGTAATTTTATCTCGATTTGGTTAAAAAATCGAGAATCTTTCGTTTATATTTATGAAAACCCAAATATAAGTAAACAGAAACAACGGCGATTCGAATTAAAAATGTAAAGCACAAGATTTGGATGACGTGCCCTATAATATGAAATCCTTCATAAGAACATCAAACATGATTCGAAGTCGACTAGTAGATTTGTCCTCGCGAATGACAGCGTGGTGGGGTAAGTAGAATGACTGCTCAGAATATGACACTTCAGTATCTGACGACGAATTCTCAATGATACCTTCCTTACGATAATCATCAATTACCTTTTTATAATCCTCATAAAAAGCTGTATCATTTCTAAATCTCCTAACCAGACCATCGAAACGTTTCCGAGCCACTTCTCTATTATTTGCTAATTTCTCCTGCATACCCTGGTTTCCACGGCAACTTTACACAATACCTTCCATCTACGAACCCAACAGAATTATTAAATTCATCAAGTATCTCCTGTTCCACTAAAGTCAAACACTCCGCTTCCTTGTTTTCAATACCTAAACTTTCCAGTTCCCAGAAACGCCTGAGTTCAGCTGATACAGTGCTTTGATCACCTAAAACTAAGTTTACAGCAGCCGTTTTACTCATATCACCACAATTTCCCTGCAAGGACCATCCAAGTTCTGTGTTTACAGCTACCAAAGACGTATTTAACCTTTCAAAAACCTTTTGTCAACTTCCAATAAAAAATCTATACACCTATTAACAAGGAAATTTCATTATCATCTGACGCTTGATTATATACCCACGTTAAAGTTAATCCCTTGGCTTCCATTTCAGCTCTTGTACGCTCATTCGGCAAATTAATCGCCGCCCTCGAAATTTCATCTGTTTCCAACGCCTGTATTACGACTTCATTTCCATCTAAATATTTCGCAATCTCACTTCAACTCTGCGACATGTTTGCAACCTAGGATCCTTTGCTCCAAATGAATAAATCTTTAATGTTTCTGACCCTAGACATTTTAATCCCAACTTCATAGATACATTTCTTTTAATAAAAAACTCTTCTCACTACCGTTATCAAACATTGCAATAACTGTACCTGACGATTTACGACCAACAATTTCTGTCCTAACACACTGCAATAAAATCACATATCATTTACAACTGAATTCGAACTGAATTCCAATTTTGGTTTTTCTTCTTCCGGTTTTGAATTAGATTTACACTTGCTAGAATTTTCAAATTTAAAACAATAGCTTTGGCGTGTCTACCAAAGCAGAATGAACACTGTTTAGCATTACATTTTTTTTTCACAAAACAGTTTGTGTTACAACATAAACAGACATCTCCTTTCCTTAATTAATTTATCCCTTTTTTGTTGTACAGTCATGTTTTCACATTCAGTCTTACAGTGACCTTGACCGCAGAATAAACAAACTTCGGAAGTTTTCGCCATAAATTCTGTTACTGACGCGTGTTGATTATTGCGACTCGGAGGGAAGTTTCGTTTCTGATTTCGAAAATTGTTTTGTTTGTGTTGGTTAGAATGAAAATTATTATATGAAGATACATTATTAGAATTAATACGGAATGCCTTTTCTCTTGCACTAATAGCATTGTGTAAAAACTTCATCAATTCCTGTAAATCATGACAATTATTTATATTTTGCTTCGAAAATTCAAGAGTCAATTCTCCTGGCAGATTTTTTAGTATTATGTTAGTCAGTATTGTTGTGTATGTTTCCGATTTGACATTTAATTCCTCTAAACATCTAATTTGAGTTTGGGCTTCAAAATAAAGGTTACGAAGAGCCCTGAATGTTAGAAGCATTTTTTACAGGTGCCAGATTTAATAAATTGACAAGTGAGCATTTAAAAATCTGTGTTTCAGAAATTAATTTAAGTGAGCAAGAGCCTTTTGCTAGCCTTTATTTTAATGCAAAAGTCACTCAGTTAAATTAGAATTATTATGCACAGAATTCTCAAACTGATTCCAAAAAATCTAAATATTCTGAAGGCTCTCCATAGAATCGAGGCAGCAAAAACATTAGGGAGTTTTTCTGTTTCTAAATGCAAGTTTTATTTTCTACGTGAAACATTTTCTGGGATTTACTGTTGTTTACCTGACTGATATGGACTGATGAACTGACTGATATTCCAATTGTTTGATTTTGTTTTGCAACATATTTAATTGGTATTATTTTTTCGTTATATTCATCTACTGTATTAATTTCATCCTAATTTCATTTTTCTTTCAACAATTCATCAATGTCACTATTTAATATATTAATAATTTTTTAATTTTTGTTTTTACTATTCAAAACTGTTCTAAATATGAATCGCATACATCTATGTCGATATGCGATTCATTCAAATATTTGTTTGTTTTTTCTAATAGCTTTAAAGATTGTTCACAATATGTGTCACACTTAGTTCGAAGCTTTAACAATTTAGCCATTTTCACAGTTTCTAGTAACAAATTTTACCCCTCAAATACTTTTAACAACAAATTCTAATTCTACAATTCTAAGAAAACAAATTGTAATTTTCAACAACAAATCACACTTCAAGCATTAACAACAAGGTCTAATTCTAAGAAAATACAACATTTTCTTACTTGCAAATACATTTGAACTTTTAAATATCAATGCAAACATTCAGTAAAAATGCGAAAACGAAAATTCTAAATTTTTACCAAACAAAATCAACGACATCAAACAACTTTACTACATCAACAATTACAAAATATTCTATTCAAATTTCCAACAAAACTATTTACTTACCACACCATATGATGTTTCTCGGGACAGCACCACATATTACGAAGCGATTAACTATACGAATGCGAAGTTCGAAAGGCAAAAACAACAATTGATGATTCTTGTACAAATGCTATTTTTGTTTCAACGAGTTTGCATCAGTGGTAATTTTATCTCGATTTGGTATACAAAAATACATGATGACATCTTTCATTTATATTTAATGAAAAGATAATGAAAAGACCAAAATATATTGCAGTAATACAGACACATTGCAACGGTGAACCGACAATTACGTAATGTAACCACACAGAAGAATTCTTTCGGCGCAACTGTGCCCTCTATACTATGAAAAGTTCTAACATATACTGGTGACCACCATAAAATCAGTACAGTGGTTTCTTTTGAAGTTCAGTCTGATATGGTTGAGAACTGGATTGTCATAAAAAAAAAAAAAAAAGAAATTAGAATAGAAACATTTGATAAAATGTTGACAGTAAAATCTTGTACATTAAAACTTTGATATTTTTTGTAGTATGTTACAAATATTTTCTGACTTTTTAAGTATTTTGAAATTGATTGTTCTTAACTGAAAGCCTGATATAATTGATGATTTTCATTTTTATCTTTTCTTAAATATGCATATTATTATTTTTTTTTTTTAATACAGCTAAATCTTAAGAGATTTAATGTTAACAAAAGTTAATTTTACTCTTCATTTCTCAGAAAATTTAAAAAGTTTATCTGAATCTGCAAAAGAATATGAGTCAAAGCAAGTCAAAAGAAAATTTGATGAAGTCACTGTTATAACCGGCGAGGAGGAAGAATCAAATGTTTTACAGGTGTGTTTTCTTAGTAACACTATTTTCTGTAGATGTTTGTGATTTTTAAAGTATTAAAACAGAGGTTTTCACTTTTATTATATCTTTACAGATCAATTGTAAATTATTTGCTTTCGATAAAATTAATATGAATTGGCAAGAAAGGGGTAGAGGTATTTTACGTTTAAATGATAGAGAGCATAAAGGACATCTGCATTCAAGAGTTGGTAAGCAACTTAGATTAATGCTTTTTATTTTGTATATAAGCTATTTCTTTAATTGTCTTAGACATATCTCAGAATTTATAATTTAGTATAATAACAAATTTTTTGTTTGGTTATGCATTTGAGAAATTTCCTAACATAAAGTTGAAGTGATCTCAGTTTTCTATGGTCTTCCAATAATTTACTTAAGCAATATTTTTAATTTTATCCATCTTTATGTGATGTAGGCTTAATAAACCAGAATATGTTGCTGCAGTTCCCCAGAGAAATGAAAGTGAATATTTTTCTCTGTTACTTCCAATACATTATGTTCTAACAATCTAATGGGACAGAGACATATAGTAAAGTAAAAGTAAAAATAAAACATCCCATATTCAACCTAGACCAAACCAGCAGTGGCCAGTTGTGTGGAAAAGTGGGGAAAATAGTGTAAACCAAAAATATGAACAGTAAAAGAAAAAAGTTATTTACATTCTTTGCCATATTGTCATCAGAGAATTGGTGCAATGAATGAAGTCATGTATCAGCCTTTTTCTGAACTGTCATTGTCTGTTCAGAAATTGGCTGGTTCATGTACTGACTTTGTCAGTTAAGTCTGAATCCTTCATCTTAATTACTTAAGATACTAGTAAATTTTTATATGAAGATGCAGGCAGTGTTTAATTAGTTTTTATTTGTATTTAATTTGTGTACATTACTAAGTTTAAGTATAAGAAAAGTAAAAACTGAAATTAGCTGAAGAACATCCAATTAAATTTAGAGCGTCCAATTAAATGCTAATGTATTTTACATCAGAATTCAATTACAAATAGTTCATCAATCTGAACCAAGCATAGTTATGTACCATTTCGACATTCTGCATAAATAAAAGTCACATATTGATGCCCTGTAACTGGCAGCCACGAACCTGCACACAATGTCCCGCCTCAGTAAACATTTCATAAACATAAGCAAGTTACCTCAGATTTGTGACAGGTCACACTGTCCTGCTGGAAAAAGCATTACTCATGTTCTTCTATCAGCTGTTGAAAAAAGAAATCCAAAATGGTCAAGTAGACATCCATGCTGATCATGGTGTAAAAAAATATTGGACCAATAATATATGTGACAAGAACTGCATACCACACACCATTCTTCTGGCCATGCATATATGTGACAAGAAAAAGAAATCCAAAATGGTCAAGTAGACATCCATGTTGATCATGGTGTGAAAAAATATTGGATCAATAATATATTTCAAAAGAACTGCATACCACACACCATTCTTCTGGCCATGCATATATCTGGCTATGCAAGCGGTGCTTGTAAATTAGATGTAGTTTTTCTGATGCCTGACACCTGCTTTTCTAGACATTTATGCAAATGGAACAATGCATTATCTGACATGGTGAACATAAATGGGTCCATTCAACCACCTCCAACCATGTTTAATAATGAGAGAAAAAACAATCATGAATTTTTCCTTGTCTGGGTTCTTAAATTGTTGCCCTAACTGTGATGCAGAACAGTTTGAAGTTCATAGTCTTTAACATATTGCAGATTGTTCCACTTACACTGACCTGTTGGGATAGTTTTTGGTAGATTTTTGAGGACTGTGAAGCATTAATTCAGAAATGCATGCAGAATGTTCAGGAGAACAAATAGATGGCACCCTGTTTTTTAGTGCATTTTTCATAGATTTCATTTTGCACCATTTCTTGAGCATTTTTCAAATGTTGCTTTTTGCTGAGATAGGATTATTAGGAAATTCATTACAGAATAACTCCCTCTTGTAACTAACTTCCTGTTTCTTTGAAAAGCATATGCATATATACAACTACTATATCACTTTCTCTGGCATCAAATAGATCTCTTAACTTGCACCATACAATACACCTCGCTTCCACGATCACAGCAGACAACTGAAGGTCTTTTATTATGTAAAATTTTGCCATGCCAGTATTCTGTATGCAAACCTATGGATAATTTTGTATTCAGTATTGCATATTATGTTTCAGCCTGCTTTTTTCAATGGCCCTCAGTGTACAATTGGTCAGTATTTTTTTAAATTTTGATCGACTGTTTTAGAGAAATCATGCACGAAGTAGGAAAATTATAATTTTGGAAAAAATAAAATTACATTGAAAGCCTGTATATGTGCATTATTTTCTTAATATTAAGGAAGAAGTATAAAAATATATTTGTGATACTTGTTTATTATTAATTGTCCCCATTTTCTAAATAATGCTAAGATTATTGATATGTCACCAGTGATACAATCAAAGCTGAGGCTCTGAATGATCGGCCTTTTGCTCAATTATGTGAAAGTAATGATGAACTTCATAATAATTTACTTCTTCATACAGAAATTCATTGGTTGTCAAATGGCAATTGTTTGCACCATTTCACTGAAACCTTTAATTCTGTAATTGAGTTCCTTTTGGAAATTGAGAAAACTATGGAAGCAAAAATAATTGAATCAGAAAAGCATAATTTTTAAACAGACATTTTCTTTGTTTGACCGCTTCCCTTACAAATTTTTTTGAAAAAAATTGCAAAAAATCATCACATTTTTTTATTTTATTATTAAATACAACAAAATGAAACAAATCAAAATATTGTAGGTTTTATGTTGAATTTTTAATTTTTTGAAGGTGTAAAAACATTTATTTTTAATATTAGTGTACTATCCCGAGTTATCTCGGGCAAACGGAAAAAAAGTTAAATATTAATCTTTGTATGATAGTTTTTGAAACAAGGAAAACACAGAGTGATGCCCGACATTCTACACTGGTGTCTGGTTCTCTTTTCTTATGGCTTACCGCTGGAATCTCTTTCATGGGAGCACAGAGTACACTGTTCGTTGGATTGATTTTCCCCCCCACCCTCTTCCATAATAGATCTGAAAATCATCGCTTCGCTATCTTGCATCATCCCGTTATTTTTTTCAACGCATGCATCCTTCTTTATACATTACTAACCACAAGCCAAACGTATACAATACAATAGGGAAACACGTGACCAGTTCCTCCAAAAGAATCCGCAACCAACAAAATTTGGCAAAATGCCACAAAGATGAATATTCCTTCATTTCCTCCAGACGAATAAACGTGATAAAAGAATTGTACTAACAAATTCTGCTTTGCCCGAGTTTTCTCGGGATAATAATTAACTGCAATATATACGAACCCGAGATAACTCGGAATAATCAGGCAAGCGGTTAATAATATACAAAATGAATTACAAGAAAAAGTCATGCATTTCATTCAAACTCAAGCAGTTATATTCAAGTTTTATTCCAAAATGGATTTCTTTATTTCCAGTTTTAATCAAAACAATTTTGGATACTTTAATTATTTGGTGCAGCTATCCCTGGTAAAAAAATAAGATTAATGATGATGATATTCAAATCTACACTAATGTCTTGAAAGAAGTTTCATTTATATTTGCTCATTATAAAGATTTGGAAAGTTTAGATATCACATCACTGATTGTAAATCCATTTGAAAAGGACCCAGCCAATATTGATTTTTCATTCCCAGAAGAATTGATTTCATTGAAGGAGAATTTGGAAGATAAAATGAATTATCAAACAAGTGGTTAAGCGAAATTTTGGAATTGTAAACATATTTTCAAAAAATACGTCAAATTAATCCTTATTACTGAATCATTATGTTTAGCTTTCCTAGTTCTTGGTTGGTTGAGGCATGTAGTTTGTTAAGAAAAGCTAGAAATCGATTAAATATTACAGAACTTGGTGAGTTATTATTATTATTAGCTAATTTCATGCCTAATATGAAATTATGGAAAAGCATCAACCATGACCCTTAGATTATATTTAAAAAAATATATTGAAATTACGTATAAATCGGTAAAATTGTTTAGTGGAATATATATATATATTATATTCGTTATTGTGACTATACTTTGATAAACAATTTCAGACCTAACATTAGAAAAGAAATGTCTCAGTGCATCAAACACAACCACCTCATAAATTGAAATCAAACTTTTTTGCATTTACAATCTGTGTTTCTGTAATCTTGTTTATATTTGTGAAACTAGAAATGAAAATAGTATGAATAATAAATGATAAACCTAATGAATTTTTTCTAATTTTTTGTTCATACTAGTCAGCTTGTTATCTCTAAGTGTACAATTATTAGTATTATAAATATTTTGTGTGCTGTATATTATATAGAAAAAACGTGAGGGGGTCGATGAAGAAAATCATTCTTTTAAAGGGATCAATATATAGGAAAAAAATTGCTAGAGTGAATTTTCCAACCTGTAGCAAAACTTATCTATAATCAACATGCGAACAAAATTTTGCAACTTTGAAAACGTGCATGTAAGGCATATTTTTGATTAACTATTTGTGAATTTTTAATTAACCCTTAAATCTAATTTACTTAATTACATTTACCTTAAAATCCGTAAATATAAGAAACTGAATAATAAATACTTCTTGTATAAATTATATGCATATTTAATTAGAAATTTTCATTTTATTGCTTAAGCAAAATTATGTATAAATTTATTATTGAAACAAATATTTTAAATTGCATATAATTGTAGAAAAAATTAGAATCTATAAACTATCCATATCTTTATGAGGTTGTTGGATTTTAATTTCTTCAGGGAAATTTCTTAAACAAATTTAGATAGAGACCAGAATATACATATAATACCAGTAAAAATGCTTGTAATTCAGGCTTCCTACAGTCCTTAAAAGTATTGAAAAGTGCGTAAGTTTTTTGGAAATGATTTTTGGTCCATCAAATTTCAAGTCCTTAATGTCGGACAAAATCAGGAAAAGGTACTTAATTTTACTCATCTATAATTTCTTATTGTTTTCTTTCAGCTGCCATATTGAGTGTGAATTAACATTTTAGAGGAATATTTTCAATGCAGTGACAACTACATTTGATAGGTTAACTACTATTTAATAGATACTACTTGATTTACAAAGCCCATGTTACCAAAACAGTGCCAAGATTATCACCAAGCTGCCAAATCTCCTA